CTTTGGCGCTGCGGTCCCATTGCTCAACCCTGCCGCTTCGGCCACGGGGGCCCTGCTCCCTCGCCCAGTGCTGTTGTCCTATTGCTCTTGTCCTATTTTCAGCCCAAATGGGGACAGGGAACTCTCCTCCCATTTATTCCCAATCCCGAGGGATTGACCTTCCATTTTCCCCTGGAAAGACTTTCCTTCTTTCCTTAGCTTCTTTGTTTGGCTTTGCAGAGATGCTCATTCCCAGCGTGGAGGTGTGAGCAGGGGGATACCTGTCCCCTCGTCACGTCACAACCTCCTTGCTCATGGGAAATGCTGGCCTGGGCTCTTCAGGACTGTGTGTTTGCACCAGGGAGGGTTGGAAAGGCTCAGTGGGAAAGATTTCTTGAGAAATTTTGCAAAAAAAAAAAAAAAAAAAACCGATGTTTAACTGGAATGCCTTCTTAAATATTCCCTTAAAATTTATGTATTTTAAACAAAAATACAAAAACATCTTCAGTTTCATTGGAGGGAGGGGATTGTCAAAAGAAGCAAAATAATGTGATAGGAATAAGCTGGGGAGAATGCTTTTTCCAGCAAGTTTTATCTCCCCAGGGCTGAGGGAAGGCAAAGCTAGGGGAGGAAAGGCTGGAAGCAGAGCAAAAGGCCGGGCTCTGTGGTTGCGGAGCGGCCTTTCCAGCAGGGATGAGCAATGCCTGACAACTCCCGCTGCATCCCGCAGGATCCCTGTTTACTAGTGGGAGATGCCTTAGAAACGGCTCCTTCAGCCGCCCCAGCACGAGGGAAAACCAGGGCAGCCGGCCAGGAGGGAAGGGCTGAGCGAAGGTCCCGGGGCACCGTGGGCTGGGCTGACCAGAGGGGCTGGAAAACTGGGAAGAAACGCGAGGTTTCCGTCCGGGAGGAGGGAGTTGCCCCGATCCTGCGGCTGCAGAGCCGGGGTGGCTCCGGACGGAGCGTTTCGGCCGTGCAGACGGTGCTCACCCTGCTGTGCTCTTGGCAGGGCTCGTCCGCTGTGCCGCAGAGGCCACCATGCCGTGCCCCTCGCTGAAGGCTGCCCTCGGGCTCCTCTTCCTCACCGGTGAGTGATGCGGCTGGGGAGACGCGCGCGGGTTTGGGCCCTGCATGGGCAACCGACAGAACTAGAGGTAACAAACCCGCTTGGACGCAGTCCTGTGCCACGTGCTCTAGGTGACCCTGCGTGTGCAGGGGTTGGACTAGATGATCCCTAGAGGTCCCTTCCAACCTTCAGCACTCTATGATTCCATGATAATACCTGCTCCGGGAGGCTCATCCCAAGCAGCACCATGGGGAGCGAAGGGTGCTGGCCGGCACAGAGGGTGCCCAGCACATGGGTGACACGTGGCCACGCCAGCCCTCTGCAGCTCCCGACCATCACATTGTGCTTACGGGGTGGATGCACCTGCCCCTCCAATGGTTGGGGTCATTCTGCCCGTGCTGACCCAATGCTACTGCGGGATGTGAAGTCCCCAGCCGCTATGTGAAGTTCTGGGTGAGGGTGCCACGGGGAGGACAGCAGCTGTCCAGGAGAGACACGGGAAATCATTCAGGAAGACCTTGCCTGCTCTATTGCTTCCATAGGATTTCCTGCAAGGTTTTGCTTCCATTCCCTTTTCATTTTCTTTTAAATTGTTTCTGGCTGGTCCGTGTTGCTTCTGAAAGTGTCCCTCTGGAATTGCAGCCAGTGGAACAGGGAATTGCATCATTTCCTTCCCCCCACTGCTCCCCACTCACTAAATGCACCAATAGCCTATCCAAGCCTTTGAAGGTGCCTCTGAGACCTACATCTGCCTTTACAGAGATAGGCTTATTTTGAGTCAACAGTACTGGTATCCATAACGTCAGCTCCTGGGACCACCTAGACCAGCTGATGGGATGTAGAAAGGCTGAAGACATGAGCAAATATATGGGGAATTCCTAGCCTTTTCCTCTCCAAAGATTTCACTCAGACCAGTGTAGCAGTACCACAGTCTCATCTCGCTCTCCCAAATTCCTTCTCCCAGGGCTTCTGGAGGCAACATCGGGAGGCCGCAGGCTGCACATCGAACCCCGAGATGCTGAGATCGTCCTCAGCCTCCACAGTACCTTCTCCCTCGTGTGCTATGGGGATGGCCTGCTGGTCTGGGAGCGGGAGGGCCAGGTTCTCGCCGCCTCGCTGGAGCACAAGGATGGTGTCTTCACCAGCAACCTCACCCTCAGGAACGTGACGGGCCGTCAGACCGGGGAGTACGTGTGCACCTACAGCCCCGAGCAGGCTCCAGAGCCGACGGAGAGGAAGGCTGTTTACATCTACGTTCCAGGTACGGGGCAGCATATCCTGGTCTCTGCCTTTCCGTGGGGGTCTAGCAGTCAAGAGAAAGAGGGTCCTGAATTACTGTTTGGTCTCCAAGCACCTGGCCTCCCCACATCCTTCCTCCCAAGCCATGTTTCTGGCTTTGGCATGTCTCCAGGTCCCAGGACAGGTCCATGGATCACATGCTGTGCAAGTGATGGTAGAGGCAGTGGTGCTGGCTGGTAGCTGCCCATGTCTCACTCTCAGAGCCATGAGTGGCTCTGTGTTCCTGTGATGAGGAGGAATAGGCAAGGAGCAACCTACAGCAGCAGTTTGGAGACAACCTGATGCTGAGGGGACACAGAGCAGCCATAGCTCAGCCTCAAGCTGCTTACCATAACCAGCATGGCTCTCTTTCCCACAGATCCTGCCCTAGTCTTCCTCCCCACGGCCGCTGAAGAACTCTTCATCTTCATCACGGGTTACACAGAGGCTGTCATCCCGTGCCGTGTGACCAACCCGCAGATGCAGGTGACCCTCTATGAGAAGAAGGTGGAGAACCCCATCCCAGCTGCTTATGACCCACAGCAGGGCTTCAAAGGCTTCTTTGAGGACAAGACCTACTTCTGCCGGACAATTGTGGATGACCAGGAGGTGGATTCAGATACGTTCTACGTCTACAGAATCCAGGGTGAGATGCTCGGGGCCTTTGTCTTTGTACAGCCTTGAACAAAGAATTGGTCCCTGCCCCTAAGCAGGGATACTTCAAATAAAAGGCAAACCCAGACAGATGGGGAGATCATACAGACACAGGGGCTGTTCTGATAAGCAGCTCTCCAGTGCTCCTACTTTCTCTTCCATACCTTCATTACTCATTCCTGTTTTTGGCATCCTCCACAGTTTCCTCTGTGAATGTCTCCATCAGTGCTGTGCAGACAGTGGTGAGGCAAGGAGAGAACATTACCCTGATGTGCACAGTGAGCGGCAATGAGTTGGTCAACTTCAACTGGGCTTATCCTCGTGAAAAGGTGAGCGTTCCAGCCTTATGGTCTTTGGGCTGCCCCAGCTTTTGCCCAGATGTCTTGTGGCAACCACACATCAGTATCATAGTGATGCTCAGGATGCTTCATCCCCTGACAGAAGGTGTGGGATCATATTGATGCCATGTAGGGTGGCTTCACAGGGAGATCCCTAGAGTAAAGCTGTCTTTCTCAGTGGCCTGTGATCAGTGCATGTACCTTGTTCCCATCCCACCCCAACTGTGGGATCTTCCAATCCATTCTCCTCCCTCCTCATAAGCCTGACTCTGCAGCTCTGATGGCAGAACACGTCTAATTTCACAGTACAAATCTCCTGTCTCTATCGTGTCCCTATCATGCAGGCTGGAAAGGCTGTGGAACCAGTGACTGACTTTCTGCCTGGATCCACCCATGAAATCCGCTCCATCCTCATCATCCAGAATGCAGAGCTAGATGACAGTGGGACCTACACCTGCAATGTCTCGGAGGGCTACCATGAGAAAACAGACCGAAAAGATATCACAGTCCATGTAATCGGTGCGTTGCTGCCCGCACACTCAAAGTCAGCACCTGAGGCATCCATGTGTCCACCATCCCAGACTCTTTCCTCTCCACACAGCCTCCAGCTCTCTTCCCTTCCCACCTCCCTTACTAAAGGTTAACTGTTAACTCTGGAGACGCCCAATGTCATCCTTGCTCGCTTCTGAACTTCCAAAAATCCCAAATCCCCCACCATGGCACCATGGCTTTATGGGTCCCTCTAAATGCCTCATGGTGTAGGTGAGAGCTGTGCAGAGTCAACGCACTGCCAACCCAAACTTGTCATCTCTCTCATCTGTGTCTCTCCTCCCTTTGTGTAATTTGAGGGAAACTGTTCCATCTCTACCAGATGATAGCCTTTCCTTGCATGTCATCTCCTTCATGAGCTCCCCTGCCATAAAGTACAACTCTGCACTCACATTCCCCTTGGACACAGGCCTGAGGCCTTGAAGACTCTATCTGGAGTGCCCCACCACTGCTTGGTGTTCAGGGTGTTTTGTTCCAGATCCATGTTTGTCCTCCCTTGTGCCAGTCAGAGGGGTAGAGAAGGAGCCATGTCTCTTTCTGAAGCTCTTACCTGTCCTGTTCCCTTTTAGAGCGAGGCTTTGTGCGCTTCCACACTCACCTGGCTAGCACGGAGTATGCCGAGGTCCATAAGAGCCGCACCATCCAGGTGGAAGTGGAGGCCTACCCACCACCAAGCATCACGTGGCTGAAGAACAACAAGACATTGATCATGGAGAGCAACAGCGAGTTCAGCATCTCCAGCAGGAACCTCTCAGAAACCAGGTGAAAACCCATATCCCCTCACCAGAGCACAGAGAATAGATGTGTCGTAAGACAAGCTGGAATTAGCCAGCTGGACATGGGGCAGCCATTGAACACTGGCCTCTTTGCAAATGGATTTTGACTGGGTGGGAGTTGTCGTCCCCCAGGTATCTCCCTGTGCTCATCACCCCAGGACTGTGACTCTTCTAGGTACCAAACAGCTCTGGTCCTGGTGCGGGTGAAGCAAGAAGAAGGAGGATTTTACACCATCCGAGCTTCCAATGAGGATGATGTGCAGGAGCTGTCCTTCCATCTGCAGATAAATGGTGAGGACTTGCCTACAGACACCTGACCAAGGAGTGTTGGCAGTCCTTGGGGCTGTCTCTGTCCTTCACTGCAGTATTTGGGCTCACTGTCCTTTCACCCCTGGGCCGTGTTGAAGGTGCAGAGGAATCCTGCACCCTTTCCAACCTGCAGGCAAAGCAGGATTGATTCTCACCAGTGTCTCTTGGTTTCAGTGCCAGCCAAAGTGGTGGATCTCAAGGAGAACAGCAGTGCCAGCAGTGGGGAGCAGACGGTAACGTGCTCTGCTGAAGGGATGCCGCAGCCAGAGATCAGCTGGTCCACCTGCAGTGACATCAAATGGTAAGCAGAGAGCCCAGAGGAGCAGCACGGTTCCCACATTTATTTTAATAACAGACTATTTTGTAGTATTCTGCTGGCTGTGCACTGTTTGCAGCCATGTCAACCCTGCCCTCTGATGAGCAGGTCTTGGGGCTTTGCTGCAGCAACGGACTAAGGCCCCTTCTGCTTTCAGCCTGTGCTTGCAAGGAAAAGAGCTGGAAAATTCATTTCTAAGTGAAACGTGCTGTATACTGCACTCAGGAGACATCCTGGGGCTTCAGCCCAGCAGTTTGCAGGGATCTGGACCAATGCCTTCCACCTCCTCAGCACATGGTGCAGGAAGGCCAAACAGGAGGAGAGGATGGTGTTTGAGCGCGAGGAGGAACCCCGTGGTGCAGCGGAGCTCTGAGTGCCCCTCACATTCCTGTGTCCTCCCCGGGGCAGGTGCAGCACCAAGGGGCAGCCCACGCGGCTGCTGGGCAACGACTCGGCGGAGATCGGCCTGCAGACCAACGCCACGTACCACGCGGAGCTGCAGGTGTACCGCGTGAACAGCACCCTGCAGCTGCAGCGCCTCGACGAGCCCCTGCTGCTGCGATGCACCGTGCAGAACTTCCTGGGCACCAACTCCCAGGACATCACGCTGGTCCCGCACAGTGAGCGCTCTGGGAGGTGTTCGAGCAGGGTTGGGGGAGCTGGGCTGCCGTGTCCGTGCCTCCAGGCTGGAGATGCTGGGAGACAGGACTGTCCTTGGATGGCTGCAGCCCTCCAAGGCAGGAAGTCTGGCTATTTATGCCCAAAGCAGAGCCTCCTCTGGGTCAAGAAGGACAGCCTGCTCCAGGCTCCTCCTGGAGCCCTCCTATTCCCTGATACTGAACGTCCTTTTATCACTGCTGAGCAGGGACACCCATAAGGATGGCGAGAGGAGAGTACCAGAGCAGGTCCCCAATGGCTTGTTATTAGCCTGCAGTTCACTAGATGGTGCCACGGACCTAACAACTACATGCTAAACCACCCTAATAGGAAAGAAAATGCTCTGAGTTGAGGACTGGCATGACCAGATCTTCCCCTGAGAAAACCAGCTCCTTACAAACCTCACCCAAGGTTGCAGAGAGCTTTTCAGGGGGCTGTAGCAACCCCTCACCCCATTTTCCCCCGGGTGCTGCCGCCACTAGTGCCAGACAGGTCTGCCAAGGAAGAGAGGAGAGGGACTCCCTGCAGGGAGACCCAGAGTGGGGAAGGAGAAAGGTGCATTGGAAGGGGGTGTCCCCCCTTTGCCAAGGGTGCCCAGGCAACACAGGGACAGGGGGGTCTGATTGTGGTTATCATTGCAGCCTTGCCGTTTAAAGTGGTCATCATCTCCGTCATCCTGGCCTTGCTGGTCCTTACCGTCATCTCCTTGGTCATCCTCATCGTGCTGTGGCAGAAGGTAAGGATGCTCCCAGCCTGCCGTGGTGCTGCCCCGATGTTGGGTGGTGGTGAGGAGGGAAGTTGAGAGCATCCTGCTGCCACTGCCCCAGTGCTGTCCCACCAGAGCTGGGGCCACGTGTCTGCACAGGCCTGTACATCCCCAGGAGGCAGTGGCTGCAGGCACCACAGACTGCCTGACAAAGCCCATCCTCACATCCCATGCTCTCCCTGACCCCCCAGCTTCTCATGCCTCTCTTGCCCCTTTGCTCCTCTCTCCAGAAACCACGTTACGAAATCCGCTGGAAGGTGATTGAGTCAGTCAGCTCCGATGGGCACGAATACATCTACGTGGACCCTATGCAGCTGCCTTATGACTCCAGCTGGGAGGTGCCCAGGGACAAGCTGATATTAGGTAAAGGCTCTGTGAGTCCAACAGGAAAGTCAGTTGGACTTTCAATGAGCCCAGTGAGTTTGGGGTGTCTGGGGAGTATGTGGCCGGTACTCCAGCTGCAGCAAGACTGGTGTTGCTTTAGGCAGGGGATATGGCTTTTCCAAGCTCCTATCCTCACTGAGGAATACGCAGGGGATCATCACTACCTTTGTCTCTTTGCTGTTTCTCTGCAGGTCGCACTCTTGGCTCTGGTGCCTTTGGACGTGTCGTGGAGGCAACAGCCCATGGCTTGAGCCATTCGCAATCCGCTATGAAAGTGGCAGTCAAAATGCTCAAGTGTGAGTCCGCTCCAACATCCCCCATCCCTCCATCCAAATGCCATGAGACCGTCTGGTCCCACCGTGCTCCCCTCCTCACCCTGGTGGGTTGTCTTGCCTCGGCTCACACCAAATCTTCCCAACAGCCACTGCCAGAAGCAGCGAGAAGCAGGCCCTCATGTCAGAGCTGAAGATCATGAGCCACCTGGGACCTCACCTGAACATTGTCAACTTGCTGGGAGCCTGTACCAAAGGAGGTAGTTTTGCCCCACTCACACAGGGCCCCATTTGGCCTCGGGTGCTCCGTGTCTTCTCCCTGATGCCCCAGGTCATGCTGCAAGGAAGAATTGTTCTCAAATAGAATAATTCCTCTTTCCTGTTTCAAAATGACTTGCCTTAGGAAAGCTAAGTGGGGTTCCAAAAGTTGTTCCTTCCAGCCTGCTTGAAGCTGAGAATGCATTAACACCCACCCTCCTCCCCAGCCACAGATTTCAAATTTCAAAAATGTTTGCTGCCAAAAGAGTGGCTTTTCCCTGTGACCCTAGCCAGGAACATTTCCTATGAGCCGGTAACATCCCTGGGGCAGGAAACATTTCTGGCTTCGAGACCCCATGTGCACATCTCAGCCCCACAAGCTTCTCCCACCTTTCTCGGCCCCCCATAGAGGTGGCCTGCAGACCCTTAGGCCACGTGGGATAAAACTGGCTGCCCCAGGGAGCAAGCAGGGTTGATGGAGTTACTGTTTCCTCCCAGGGCCCATCTATATCATCACCGAGTACTGCCGCTACGGGGACCTGGTGGACTACCTGCACCACAACAAGCACACCTTCCTGCAGGCCTACGGCGAGAAGGGCCGGCGAGAGGCAGAGCTGTACGGGAACACCATCAAGGAGGAGCACGTGCAGAGGTGCCTAAAGAGCAGCCCTCATCTAGCGGGAAGCTCATCTCGTACAGAGTACTAGTACACATCTAGTACAGAGGAGAAAGGTTTCCCAGCATGTCTTAGGCCTTGGAAACCTCAGTTCTGCATTTTCGGGGAACATCTTGTTGCTACCGTGCCTAAGGGAGAAGTGCTAGAAGGAATGTAGTTGCATAAGAGCTTTTCAGAGCAAAGAGGAATGATCCTTCATCTGTCCACTGGCCGCAAGCCTGCAGGCATGGCAGGGCAGAGCAGCGGTCCCACGGGAAGCTCGAAAGCAGCACTTCCTTCCAGCATACCAAACCAGTAGTAAAACACAGCAGTGTCAGGACATCAGCACAGCTACCACCCCTACCACCCAGCTGCTTTAAGGCAGCTGAGTTCCTCTTAAGCACCAAGCACAGCCAGAGTTGTTCGGTGGTGGAGGTTCTCCAGTGCCATCTGCACATCTTCATGTACATGATACAGGGCTGAGGGTTAAGGAACTGTAGTCCCTCAAATTGCTTTCCCATTCCCTGCATTTCCTCTGCTCCTCTGGGCCTCAACAGCCTCTTTTCTCACCCCCATAGTCACCTCTCCGTGTCTGTTGAGAGCGATGGTGGCTACATGGACATGAGCAAGGATGACTCCCTGGATTACGTGCCCATGTCTGATATGAAGGGTGAAGTCAAGTACGCTGACATCGAATCCTCCAACTATGGCACCCCATATGAGTTGGACAGCTACTCCCCATCAGGTAACGGCTCAACCGCAGCGGGAGCAAGAAGAGCTTGGACTTGGCGCGCTGGACGCTCTTGCTTGCAGAGCTGGGTGGTGCACATTGTAAAGGTCCCTTTCGGGACTGTCCCAGCAGTGGTGACAGATATCCTTGTGTTGGGGACACCCAGCTCTGTCCCTTTGCCCATGGAGGCTGAGCAATCCCCAGCAGATTGGGTCCTTCCAGCACAGGCTCCCGTGCGAGTCAGGGCTGTGCCAAGGAATGCCAGTGCGAATCTCTGATTACCCTTCCCTCCCTCTAGCTCCTGAAAGAACAGACCGGATGACCCTGATAAACGAGTCTCCGCTTCTCAGCTATATGGACTTGATTGGGTTTAGCTTCCAGGTGGCCAATGGAATGGAGTTCCTGGCTTCCAAAAACGTACGTATATAGGCCAGTCCATGGTGTCTGCAGCAGCAGGGGCAAGAAATGCTCTGCTGTGTCCTGTGGTTGCCTGTGGGACAGCTCACTGTCCCTCTGTCCATACCAACCTCCTTGACGTAAAAGTGGCCATGCAATTGAAGAGCTGCTGACCACTTCTCTTTGGAAAGACAGTCCTGGGATCAGCAGGGCTGTATTTGCACATGACAGATAGCTCTGGCGTAGATCAAGCTTCAGACCCCAAACTGCTTGCCTCTGGCTCCTTTTATGTGGCCACCCCGAACTGTGATACTGTCTTTGTGCTAAAGCACAAGACACTCCACAGCAGGTCAGGCTGTCCAAACAGGGATGTCTCCTCAGTGCCTGCCTGCTGCTCACCTTGCATACACCGCAGCTGGCAACCCTCACCCCACTGGGTTATACAAACTGCCCTCGGGAGCTTTGGATGGCTGCTGCCATCACAAGGGGAAGCAGCCCAGGGTAGCAATGAAAACAAGGTAGCACTGCTCATTTCTGTGAGACATGGCTCTCCCTGGAGGTACCTCCAGTGACGGGAGGTGAATCCTGTTCTTGCAGTCCCAGAATGGGACTAGCACTGGAGTTGGGCTGCTTCCCCTGGATCTGGGTGTTCCTGCCCCGTGCAGTGACCATGGCCTGCCTCTCCCCTGCAGTGCGTGCATCGTGACCTGGCTGCGAGGAATGTCCTCATCTGTGAGGGGAAGCTGGTGAAGATCTGCGACTTTGGCCTGGCAAGGGACATCATGAGGGATTCGAACTACATCTCCAAGGGCAGCGTGAGTACTGCAAGCCATGCAAGCCCCTTCCTCCTGCCTGCTCTGGGCCTGACAACGACTGTGCTCTTGCCCTGTGAGCAGCCTGTCAACATTGTGCCTCTGGGTAGTGGGGCAGGACTCCCAGGTGTTGGTGTCAAAGGCCACTTGTCCTACACCTGATGCGCTCTGTGTGCCATGGAGTCACAGAATCACATGCCCCCACATGCTCTTGTGGAAGAACCTGGATGGCCGTAGCAAAACTAGGGACTGTGAGAGCCCATCACCCAGGCCATTCTCAGGATCAGCCCTGCATCCCTTCCTGCACAGTGTGTGTCCAGCCCTGAGCTGCAGGCAGGCGGAGTGCAGGGTTATGCTGCTCAACAGTGGTGCAGTGAGTCACTGGACATCAGGGAAGAGGTTCACACACTTCTGTTCTAACCACTAGGCCACAGGGAAAGAAGAAGTGCTTTCCTGTGAGCAGTTACATTCCAGAAAGACATCTCCAATCTTTCGAGGCAGAAGAGGATGAGGGTGTAAATCAGCATTCCCCCAGAGCCTCCCCTTTCCCTCCAACAGCCCTGTGGCAGAGAGCACAGACGGAAAAGCAAGACATGCAATTGGCCCCATTTGACAGACAGGGAATTTGAGGCTGGGGGAGCTGAAAGCCAGGCCCCCTTTTAGCTGCTGAATGAACTGCTCAGCCTTCTTCCACCTGCTCCCACTCACATGGGTGGCAGCCAGGTACTCAGTGCCTGGAGAGGCTGCAAAGTCCTTCCTCTTCTCTGCTGCAGCAGAGGGGCTGGAGTTTCCAGTCCAGTCTTGGCATTGCTTCTTTTCCTTCCAAAACAGGAAATGAAACTGGGCTCCTTTGCAATCCTTCCTGGGGATTATTTTGGTATTCACTGCGCAAGCAAATCCCTTGAGAGACCAGGAAAAGCATGGCCAGCACTGTACACAGGCTGACCAAGTGAGGCTTTCCTTATGCATCGCTTTGAACAGATAAGAGCAGGACAAAGCATCATGGATATGTCCTGGATGTGTTTGTCAGCCCATCTCCTCCTAGCCCCATAGCCATCTACAGGCTGGTCTCAGCTTTGCAAGGTGCAGACAGGCCTGGAGCCCCTGCCAGAGTGCCATGGTCACCACAAGGCAGCACACTCTACCCAAGGGGTTAGGAGACACACGTGCACACCAGGACAGCTCAGCAGACTGGCTGCCAGCTGTCATGGAAATGGATGTAGCATGTCCCTCCTGCCTGCTGGGTTCATCCTGTGCTAGGTAGGAGGAAACTGGTTCGCCCTTGGAGTGGCTGACAGCAACTGTACTGGGCTGATAGGAAGCTCTGAGGGTGTCTCCTTCACTTGTAAGCTGAGTGTTGATACAGAAATGCCGTAATTGTAGCTCACTCTCTTCTTGTTCCATCTTTCCCTTTTAGACCTTCTTGCCTCTTAAGTGGATGGCCCCAGAGAGCATCTTCAACAACCTCTACACCACTCTGAGTGATGTGTGGTCCTTTGGGATTCTCCTCTGGGAGATATTCACTCTGGGTAAGTGCCCTGCAGATCATGCCAGTGTTCTTAGGTCTGGTAGCACATTAGCAGAGCATCTGAACATCCCTAGGATCCTTTCTCAAGCCAAGGAAGTACAAATCCATTTCTTATCCCCCTTCCCAACCATAGCAGCTTCAGAGTAGCACTTCATGCTCTCTCTCCTTCTTTCCCATGCTAACGTTGCCATTTGGAAGTGAAATGAATCAGAAAAGGTAAATAAGAACAGGAAACGCAGGTGCGATTGGTCTGATAGCATGAGGGTGGCAGTCTCCGTCAGCCTCATTCCCTGCTCTCACTTTACACCCAGGAGGGACTCCATACCCTGAACTCCCCATGAATGAACAGTTCTACAATGCCATCAAACGTGGCTATCGGATGTCCAAACCCACCCATGCTTCTGATGAAATGTAAGTGCTGTCCATATATATTTTACCTGCCCCTGCCCCACACTAACCACAGGAGCACTCCTGCCTCTGTTTTCCCCACCTACTAACTCACCAGCATACCCCTTTTTCCCTCTGGTTAGCTACGATATCATGCAGAAGTGCTGGGAGGAGAAATTTGAGATAAGACCATCCTTCTCACAGCTGGTGGTGCTCATGGGAAACCTCTTGGTGGATTGCTACAGGAAGGTATGTTCAAAGGACCCTGCTTTGGAGGGACGGAGGAGGGTCAGGACTCTGGAGAGGATGGTTGGAGGACTCAGTTAGGACTTGGGAGACCAGTGGTTAGTCCCTGCTGTGGCATAGGATTTTGTTGTGACCTGGCCTGAGTTAGTCTGAACAACCAGTGAAGGTGGTTAGAGCACCTGGGGGACACTGCTGAGACAACTGACATTGCCAGATGTCCCAACGGCAGGGAACATCCAAATCAATGGCAGGTCCATTGAATTGAAAACCTGCCACTGGCTATCCAGTATTTTGGAGTTGTGGTGTCATTCCCTTAATTACCCACTCAGGAAACGTTCATGGTCTCCTGTAGTGGAGTCAGGGCAGCTGAACCCAGCTAGAAGGTGCCCTGTAGAGGCAGCCAAATGCCAGGGAAAGCCAACACAACAGAAGTTCATTTTCACCGCTCACAAAAACTTCCTGTTTCTTTGGCAACCTGCCCTGCGGGAGCAGAGATACCAGCAGGTGGATGAAGAGTTCATGAAGAGCGACCACCCCGCTGTTGTCCGCACAAGACCCACGATCCCTGGGCTGAACAACGTCAGGCCTGCTCCCAGCTCCCCCACCAGCAGCATCCTCTACACAGCTGTGCATCAGAATGGGGGCGAGAACGACTATATCATCCCCCTTCCCGACCCCAAGCCCGAGGGAATCTGCGACCTCCCTCTGGAGGCCTCCGTCAGCCGGGCCAGGTAAAAAAGTCCCTCCTGAATGTGCTCTTGCTTCTGGCTGCCCAAACCTGAAAATTGCATGGGGATGAGCTGGGGTGGGTTTACTGAGAGGGATGGAGGGCAGGGTCACCCCCATCTGATTGCTGAGGTCTCACACAAGCCCCCAGGATGTAGATGAACCACAGGAACTGGGAAGTGAGCTAAGATGAGTGTCATGTCGCGTCCTGGGACATCAGCCTGTGCAGCTGTGGACAAGGAGAGCGCACAGGAGCACAGCCTATAGAGCACAACTGGATATATGTTGTATATGAGGGCCAAACAGACCGAAGCAATTTTGTCTGACCCCTTGTCGAAAGCTACTCATGTAGACCCAGGTTGCCATAAGCTGAAGGCATTTGTTACCGGTTGGGAATCCTCTTCTACCAGGAATGTCGGGACAGGACACTTATTTCTCTCTCCCCCTTGTCTCCCTTCAGCTCTATGCTGAATGAGGTGAACACGTCGTCTACGATATCCTGTGACAGCCCCTTGGGCCCTCAGCAGGACGAGGAGCAGGAATCGGACCCGCCGCTGGGCTGCCAGGAGCCGAACATGGGGCACCACGAGGTGGAGGAGAGTTTCCTGTAGTCAGAGCTGGGCTGACTTTGCAACTCCTCACAGCGAGGCCATCTGAGGGACCGAACCAGATGTCACGGAGAGCCAAGCTTTGCACTTGTTCATAGGGACATCTCCGCCTGTCCTGGCATTCCTCCCTCCCTCCCATCTGTTGTGGTCAAGTGGGAAATTAGAGACTTTTCCCCCATTGCCATCCCCTTCCCCTGTTACAAAGAGGTGGCTCAGTGCCACAACACTCCATATCACTGCCACATCCTCCCCAGTGATGGAAACACTGCTGGAGAGAGACATCTCACAGACCAACATCTTCTCTTCGAGTGGAAGACACAGGTCAGATCTCCACAGGAGAGGCTACTTTCTGCCTTGCTAATATGAACATCCAGCCCTTTCCCTTTCCACGCTCTTTACATGGCAATGAGTTTCAGCTCCTCTGCACCAGCACTTCCCTGATGGCTTCAGCACCAGCCACAATCATCACAAGTTCTGTGAAATGCCACCAGGACAGATTTCCTTGGAGCCCATCACCAGGGTGTAGAGAAGCCATAACACCCAGCTCCAGCTGCTGGAGACCAAGAGCACACTGGGTGGATTCTCCTTCAAGCACAGCCAAGGCCTGGAGAAACCAGACAGTGTCTTGGAGACATTGGATCACCTTTTTTGGCAGCTCCTCTGTGGTGGATAATGCATCATGGACACTATAGGTACCATGGTTCTGGGCCACAGCTCTGCACCCACCTGCAGGGACTGTCGCACCTTGATGCCCTTTCTGTCCAGCATGGCACCTGAGAGACCTAAGGGAATGCCAAGAACAAGAAGGGCTCTGACGATGTCTTTGTTGTGGTAGCAAACAGGGCAAACCAATGTTGCTGTTGCTTGTGTGGACATCAAACTAAAAAGCCTCTATTGAAGATTTAAAGGGAACAAATATATTAATCCACTAGTCAGGGCCAGTATAAGAAGCAATATGGCTATTCATTAATCTTCTACTGCCACTGAGCCCGGCTCATCTGCTGGGAAATGATATAACTCCATCAGCTGCAAAATCTTTATGCCTTGTCTTTGGGAAGCAAAGGCTCCCTTGTGATAGACTGTTCACCCTCTTTCTCAGGATGGGAGGTCTCACCGGTCCCTCCTGAGTCATAGCAAGACTATGGGGAGACATTAGGATGCCAGAACACCAACTCAGGGACATGCAAAAGAGAGTAGGAGAGAGGTCAGCAGGCTCGTTGGCCAGGGCTGAACTGTGTCTAACACTCTGTCGCTTTGAATCTTTCTGTTTGCCAAAATACACACGGGAAGGTAGGTTTCAACAGCAAGAAGCTTTTCTGCTGGTCAAGCACAGTCATCTGCAGCCTGCTGGGGACTGTGGATGAAGTGGCATAGGGAACCAAGCAGAGCAAGAGGAATCAGCAAGATTCCCCTCTCTTGGAAAGGGTTTTGAAGAATAAAATGGGAGAGATCTTCTTCCTGCTTTCACCTCCTTCCCAGCTCTCACAGACAGACCTGGGACATCTTGTGCTCTCAGATGACACTTGAACAAGGAGGTTCAAAGCAGGAGGAACACCAAGCTTTTGAAATCATTAGAGAGGAAAGCTGGACCCCGAAAGCTGGACCCCAAAAGCTACAGCTACGACATCAGCATAGGAACAAGCAGGCTTTTTCTCCAAAAGGAGAAGTTTTGCCTTGCACAGAGCTCAATTTGCTGCATGTGCCTCACTCTCGTTAACCCCTTTGCTGCCCTGCTTATGCACATCTCTGTGAGTGCCCTACAAAAGCTGCACGGAAGGGTTCAAAAATTCCTTCAGTGTCTTTCTGGGTTTCAGCCACCTCAACACCATTGAGACTTCTTTAATTTCTGAGACTGCTGCCAGAAAACCCCAAGCAAGAGAGTTTCTATCTGAAGTTGTCAATCATTGCTAGCTAGTAACACTGCCATTTATGCAGCTAAAAGAGGAGTAGATATTTTGTGGGCTGATATTGTTGGCAAAATGTGAACATAAAAAATAGCACTTTCTTTAGCAGCCAGTGAAGTATAATTTCAACCTGCATGGTCAGATTCCCCTTCATCCATAGGGATCACACTGTAAATAGCTATTTTCCACACTCTGTCCTTCCTGCTTATAACAAGGGATCCACCTTCATGGTCATGGTCCAGAGAGTCCTTACCACAGAGAAGCAGTAGTGCCTGAGATCTTTGGGGTCAGACCACTTTGTTTTTCTAATTTCTAAGGTGCTTCATAGGATTCACATCCCTGCAACTTGAGCCCATAGGATGCCACATCAGATCATCCTAGCAGCCACTATCTGCACTAGCTCCATTTTGCATTTGTCCTTCCCTATCAAAGGTGACAAAAAGCAGCCAGTACTCCCAGGTAGGTGCAGTACTCCAGGGTGGGTCAAATCAGGACCTCATATAGGGCATTAATACATTCTGATATGTGCTGGAACTGTCCTGCCTGGTGTAGCTTTGGTTAAGGTTGGCCTTTTCCCAGTCACAACATACTGGCAGTTTGGAGTCATCCCCTGACCCATCTAGGCACCCATGTCTTTCTACTCTTCTGGCATTTCTAACTGAGATACTTCCTGCTGTTCCAGACATTGGGTCATCAGCACATTTTATTAACAAACTTGTTATTTTTGGGCTGGACTGACTAATAAAAATGTTTAATGCTTTTGGTGTCAAGAGCAACCCTGGAGAACCACTTCTACTACCTCCCTCCAGCCCAAAGACTTCCCCATCAGTTAACCCCTTCTTACCCTCCTTTGAGACATTTTCTTATTCATTTCACCAGTCCTACACTAAATTCCATGTTCTACAGATGAGTTTCCCAGTACCAAATGTTTTTCCACAGCCCTGACAGCAAAGATCAATTTCTTCTTCCTCAAAGGGAACTCAGGTATCCTCTCCTATTGGTTGGGCATTCACTGCACTTGGATGACTATTGCATTTTTATCCCATTTGTGCCTCCATTTCAATTACCCTTCGCACCTGTTCTGGCTGCTGATGGGGTCAGATTTGTCAGCAAATTGCTGCTAATCCCACTTCCCTCTCCCTTTTTAACACCGGTACGCCAATCTCTTTGCATTATGGTACCATTCTCAACTTCAGAGAGGTATGACCAAATATTCGCCTTTGGCCCCAGGTTTGCAAGGGCCAAGTCTTGCACTTTGTGGTACTTTCCTACACTAATTTGGCTATTCCTATGACCCCTTAGTGAGGGCATGCACAGAGCAGCAGCTCTAGCTGCAGGTGCAGGAGCTCTGGTCCTGGTATCGATCCGGTAAACTCTGCACCTGCAGTGACTCCATCTGTGCATCCCAGTGGCCCCAGGTGGGAAGATTTTCTTCTACGAGAGCTTTGCAGGGGCAGAGGCTTCCAGCAGCTCCAAAACGAGCTTGTCCCACGTAGAGAGCTGGACCCAGCCCTCTCTCCCTCTCTCTCTGCTTCTGACATTCCAGTCCCCACACAGTCCAATGGGTGAGGGCTGTGGGAAAGGGTTGGTTGTTCTGGACCCATCAGTCTTGTAGCCATAATTTCTGCGGTGAGATTCTGAAGGGAACCGGTCCCTCCGGGTTTTTAGTTTCAATGACTAGTATTTTTGTTTGGGTGTGTTTTCGTGTTCAGACGTGGACCCAAGCTGAGACTTCTATCATGGCCATGATCCCCAGAAGGGCAACATACCACAGCTTGGGCCCACCTCTAGTGCAATATCTTTTATTTGTAGACCATATTTTACTCTACAGCTGTTGCATTGTTATCAGCACCAATATATGCATAATCCTACTGCCAGTCACTATTTCGTATGTGCCTTGTGTATCCCAGAAACTAATGTGACACTCTGGTGTCTCTTTCCATGTTTAAGATGCGTCTCAGACTGACGTGTGCGCAGGTTTTAATCCTCCTCTCCTCGGTTTGTTACTATTTTTTTTTAAGTGAGAGTGTCATGTTTGGTGTTTGTTTGCATCGTGTTATCGAATCTAGAGCACAGCGGACTTTACTTATAACTAAATTGTCTCTGTTTAGCTGACAAGGGGACCGTGGTGGAGTCCCATGGGGATGGGAGGCAGAAGTGCAATGCAGATGTGCAGCCAGAAGGAACTTAGCCAGAAGTGGGAAATGGCTCTTCCCCTTCTTCCCAGCCAGGGCTCGCCAGCTCTCCCGAGTGGGGAGACACAGCACCGCAGATACCAGGTCCTGGGTAGCGGGTTAGGTTTTGGCTGGGGGGAAGTCCAGGGGCCACCTGTGTAAAACTGAGCAGATCTGAGAAGGGGATCTCCTTTTGGGGGCTTTTTCTAAAGCAGGATGTCAGCTAAAGCGTTGTGGAGGCAACCCCCCTGTACCAGCGCACAGGGAAGGTCTCCCTCCAGCTGGGCATGGTGCCTAGCTCAAACCCCAGGATCAGCCTGGCCAGTTTGCTGTGCAAATGGCACGTCCTTATGTGCCAACATGGACCAGAGGACAGCGGGCTGCCAAGCTAGACATGGGGAGCACAGCCACAGCCTGGGGTCTGGATGGATCCGGAGGGCCCTGGCAAAGGCAGGAGAACTGCTCCACTGTAGCCCAGGTGGCACTTGGAGAGAAAGCTCCTCTTGTGGAACTGCAGGAGGCAGGAAGGCCAGTTGGAGCAGAGGATGCAGTGGGAGGCCTGCAGTGTCCCACTTGTTCGGGTCCTTTTCTCCTTTATGGAGCGTACCGAAGTTAAATATGCCTGCAACACTTGCCCAAAGTGTGTTCGCTGCCCTCTCCCCTCCTCTGGGCTAACGATCTGTGATGGTGCTGTTACTCTGCAGCACCCCTGAAGGGAAACAGCACCTGCCTCCACACTATCTGCCAGAAACCATCCTGGAGCAAGGAAGAAAACAGAGTTCAGACTGAGGTACCAAAGAGTTAACATTCTTCTAGGTTTACAGACATATTTGTAGGACTTGTACTATGTCACATCTATAGCCATGAGATATTATTTTTATGCTGTAAACTTTTACAAAATATGTTTTTAAAGAAAAAAAAAGTTTAAAATTAAAGGTGTTTCTTTTTGCAAAGTGTCATCTCCTCCTTTCCTCTGCCTAGTTTCAGCTGTTTCCACCTGCATCAGCTCATATGGGGTTGGGAATACAGCTTAACCGTGCCACGGGTGAAGGCTAAGCACGTTAATACGCTGTGCATGACCCCAACGCTTAGCAAAAGCCAAGCTGGGAACCAGGCAGAGAGAAGCCCAGGGAGTGAACCCAGGCATGTGGGAAGGAGCAGGGGCTGCGAACAGGGCAGGACCTTTCCCAGCTCTCCGGTACCGGAGCAGCCCGTGGGCCACGCCGCGCCGAGCGGAGGTGAGTGGATGGGAGGACAGCGGAGCTATCGGAAAGTGCAGCAGGAACACGCACATCCTGCTGGTAACACTGCTCTGGGATGGGGTGAACATGTGGGTCACCAGACTGGAACAGTGCAGGGTCAGGGGGAGGTTTGGGAACACCACGGTGCAGTTCATTTCTCTCCATGGGGTAATGCTCAGTGCAGTGAGGAGCTAGCAATGTTCCCAGGGCACCAGCGGGAGGCACAGAGTGCCTCATTCCTGGCTCTCCTCTGAGCTGAATTCTCCTGCTCTCCTTCTGGGAAGAACAATTACTTCCTAAAGATGAAACCCAGAGTGCAGGCTCCCCACACTATCACCATCTCATCCCAGCTCCTTCTGTCTCTCTCCTTTCCTCCTGTTCTCCTCACCTTCCTCTTCATCCCACCCCAGAAGTGCTGTAGAATGGGACACAGTCACCTCCTGGGGTCTAGCCCAAAGCTGCCTCCTCTCTGCAGCTTTGCTGAAACAGCTTCTCTCAAAATCCACCCCAGACTGCTGAGCAGAGCTGTTTGCATTCAGCTTGGAGCCACACGCTTGGAAAGGCCGAGGTTGCTGCACAAAGAGCGTTTTGAATTGAGGCTCAAACCTATTGACTTTGTTCCAGTTTTCAGGCTGTCTGATGCCGTCCCAGGGCAATGGCGAGCTAGCAGCAGTTGTGCCCATTTGCACAAGGATTCACACTTCCCACTTTCTGGAAACTCTTTGTATAGGGTACAAAGGCCCAAAGCACCAGTTGCAACAGGAGACAGGTTCAAGTCTCAGTCTCCTCTTACCAGCCCAGCCTGTCTTGGGTCCTTATCTCTATTCAATTTCCTAAAGAGGAGGTTTTCAGGCTCCCTAACCAGCTCAGGTTCATTCTCCCCAGACTTGCTCTGAGTCACCTGGCACAGCTCAACCATGTCAGGGCATTTTTCTCCAGGAGCTGATTCAGCAGTGGAAAAAAAAAGCCCACCTCATCTCTGGAGAGACTGAAAAAAAAAAAAAAGAAAAAAAAAGATTTGAAGGTTTGCAGGGAAGCAAGGAGGGGGTTTGTTAACTCTCAGCTAAGAAGCTGGCTTATTCTCACCACCTGATCCTCGTCCAGCAGACCTTTCACATGTGGAGACACAGTGAGAAAGAGCTGCTAGGAGGGAAATGAGAAGCTGCACTGTGGGACCTCCAGCAAGACATTTTCCCCACCTGAAAGAAGTTTCTCCCCTCTTTCCTAGCAAGGATGTATTATGGGACGGGCACATTCCATGGGAGCCCAGGGAAGCATAGGAATTCAGACTGTGCTCTTGGAGGCAAACATGGTCTGCTGCACCAGTCAGTCTCCCCGCAGAAGGACTTTTAGCTAGTTGGGCACCAACAGCTGACTCAGGACATGGCTATTTCCCACCTGCCGCTGGCTGCTGCAGGGCAGTTGAGGCATGCAGTGATGCTGTGGCCAGCTGTGTACCTGGACAGGCCTTGTGCCATCTCCTAGCATGGCCATGGAGGCCTCCACCATCATCCTTGGGCTTCAGGCGACCCAAAGCAAATAACACCCTTCTTGCCCAGAGCTGCTTGGGCACATAGGCCTGCCTGGGCAAACAGCATCAGCTGGCCATGCAAAGCAGAGGTCTTCTGCATAAAGCTGAACCTGTACAAGACTGTGGCAGATTTCATTATGGTTGTATCAACCCGCTTGCAAGGCTAGGGAAGGAAGCTCTGATCATATGAGCTGTGCCCATCCCAGTAGCACTCCGGAGGCTGAGCTGCTGCTCGCAACTTCGGCATTTGGTGGGTGCCACCCTCAGGCAGGAGTAGACTGCCCACCCACGAGGCAGGAAGCCCAGCAGATAGCCTGTCCACCAGCCTGAGCACCCTCACGTGTGCCTAGCCCAGCTTAGGAACCATGTGCACTAGCTGTGACTTGTCACCTGCAGACTGTTTCCATCCGAGATTTCTGCAAGGGGCTCCTCAAAGGCAAGAAGGGAGACTGAGAGATTGCTTCCCTTCTCTGTTAATAACCTGTCTGGTTTAATATTTGCTCATACTAGTGAGTCAGTTCTCTGAGCTGGCATTTGTTCCTGGAAAAAAAAAATTAAGAAGAAGAAGGAGGGAAACAAACATCCTTTAAAAAGCCCCTTTGGCTCAAAAGGAGGAAAGATAATCAGCCAGACATATCCCGCGGCCCAGTCACTCTCCAAGGCCCCAGCTCTGGGCAAGAGCCCCCAGCACACCACGTTGTCTCCGCTTCATATTCTTCTTCCCTATGTCCTGCCAGGAAAAACTGCTGAGAGGAAATCTTCTCCAGCCAGAAACTGCTGCAGCTTCGCTCCGGACTCCTGCACTGCTCAGCTTCCTCGTGCTCTCCAGGCATCTCTCTGGCCAAAACCTAGAGCTTTCTACTCATTCTCATGACTGTTAGTCATGTTCAGCAGACTGAGCCATGTTCTCATCTCTTGGCCCCCAAGATATTGCCTTCCCAGCATCTCTCTAATCTCCAAGGCTTCCCTTTGGAGAAGCCCCCAAGACCATTCCCCTCCAGTTTGCAGAAGCACAAGGAGGACTCCTCTGACAGGGACTTTTGACCTGTAATTGCAGATACCACAGCCACCTCTGTGCAGGCACATCAGTAAATCCTGACTCTTTTTGTCTAAACAAGGCAGCCCATCTTTCTGACAGCTCCCTGCTGACAGCAGATGAGCAGCTATATCTCAGTGCAGCTAATTCATAGCCCCAAAGCACCCCTGGAGCTCTTTCTCAGCCCATGCTACCAAGTAGTGCTTACAACTTCCTCCCCCAGTGCTGTCACCATACAGACCCTTTGCTGCAAAGTGAAGCTAAGCAGTGTTGCAGCAGAGAGCAAGGTGGACCCTGAGTCTCCCTTGATCTGCTAATGTTTTGCTGACATGACTGTCCCTTAGCAAGCTGAGTTGCTTCAATCCTATCCTCACCCCTGAGAGAGTTAACAAGGTACCTCATTAGTGCTCCCAGGTGCTGATCAGGCTGGCAATTAGAAACCACCTGCACAAAGCTTCCCTGCCAAAGCCTTTCCATGAGATGGAAGAGCCTTGCAGGTAGGAGGACAGCAAGGTAGATGGGATGTGTTCCCTGGGGTCAGGGAGAAGGGTCTTTGGTGTAGCTTGGCAGTGGGTCCCTGACTGCTGTCCCTTTTGATGGCTTTGAGATGGCTCCATGATGCTGGCTGGAGCAATGCAATGTCCCCACAAGGCTCAGGACCCATCCTGTGGTTCATGTCCTCTACTGAAACAAAATAATTTGTTGTCCTCTTGGGCCTCTGCTACTCAGAAGCCACCTTGGGCCTAGCCTGAGACCTCTCTTAGGACCCGCTGCAGGGGAGTTGGTCCACCATGCCCCTGGGCAGATCCTTGGGGCCCAAAGCTGGCAAGAGCCACAAGGCCTGAGGTAAAACTTATCCTGCTGAGGTAAAACTTCACCCCCTGCCACCCAGGTAGATGCCAGCCTGTCTCTTTTCCTCCCCAAACAGGAGGTGAGAGTGCAGTAGCCCTTGTAGGGCTGGGTGGCCATAGCCAGGGTGAATCAGGGCAGCTCACCCTGAGGCCCCTTGCTGCCCCTCCTGCACGGACCGAGTTTGTCACTGATGACGTCCCAAAACAATGCTTTTTTTTTTCCTTTTCTTCCCTCCCATTTCAAAAACAAGCTAAAAAAAAAAACACAATTTCTTAACTTGTGGTCGACTCAGAAAGGAGAAGCTCTTACCAAGAGAGCGCTGGGGACGGCGCCCGCGCAGAGAGGAGCCTGCTGCCCGCGTGGGTCTGCTCAACCGCCTGTGGGGTCTTTGCTGCAGCGCAGCTCCGAGCTGGGGAGGTGCCACCATCATTGGGAAGATGGGCCCTGGCCTCCTGGTGCTTCTGATCACCACCAGCATCTGGCATGGTAGGTCCATGAGCCCTCCAGAGCTCCCCTCTGTTACCACGTCTCCCCAGGGCGGTTTTAGGATGTGGTTCGGGTTTCCCGAGAGTGCAGAGATGTGGGAGAACCCTGTAGTTCAAGCCTGTTGTTGGGTGACATAGGGTGATGGCCCCCTGGGGCTTGTCCCTGCGGAGGAAGGAGAAATGCCACAGTTTGACCAAAGCATAGTCGGCTCCCAACTGTGAAGGATGCAGCTGGGCTCCCGATCGTGTCAATCCAAACCCCAAAGTACTTGTGCGGGCCTGTGGGATGGGATGTGGCAGTCAGGCAGGTCCAAGGAGCCTTGGAGGAGGCAGATAGCGGGTGAGGGAACTCTATGGTAGGTGTTTAGCTGCAGGAAGAAACAACAGCGGCTGTAGCATCGTTCAGGGCTGGCTGCAGTGCAAGAGGAGGACAGCAGTGGAGAGAGGCTGTGTTGCTAATCCATGTTCATGTGCTGAGGACTCCTGTTGGCTCCCTCTTTCCTTGCGAGGGGAAGGCCAAGATGTGCAGAAAGGTTCTTGGCAACAGTGAGTGAGGTGGTTTGGGTCTGAAGGTGGGTTAGGGGGGAGAAGAAATGCAGCAGAAAGTGTGTCCCAAGGGAAGCTTTCTGGCAAGAAAATAAAAAAAAAAAAAAAATTAAAAAAAATTTTTAAAAAAATTGCATACATGAGACAAGAGCTGGATATGCTTGGCCTGCAGGTGAGAAAAAGCTGGGAAAGATACCTTTAGCAGCCCCTTTTGCTGCACTTCTTTGCCAATAGGAGAGTGGTGGGTGAGGACTGCTGTTCTTTGGTGGTATTGGCTTGTGCAAAAGGGCAAGAGAGCCACTTGTTAGACCCTGTGATGGAAATCTAACCCAGGCAGCCACCAGAGGAAGGCAAATACGCTCGGTTTTTGAGGCCAATGAGATGGCCAAGAGGTGATAGCTCATTACCTTAAGACAGTTGAGATGTACAGGCAAACACAAAGAAGTCAGCTCCTGTTCAGGGTCCTGTGTTCCTGATCTTGCATATCAAACACTGACAGGCTCTCCACTCTTCTCGTCCCTCTTCCCTTCATTTTCCTGCAGACTTCATTCCCTTCAAGAGATGATGAGACTCTGGGCAATTCCCCCTCAAAGGTTATAATCTCAGTAGGGAAATATTTGGCATATATCAGGGAGATGGTGTTTCCATCTCAAGCCACTGCTGCATTCATGTTTTCATCCTCGGAGCTTTGCATCTGTCTTGCTATTGCACTGCACAGTGTCTCCGTTCAAACCACATCTCCTGCAAGCTCTGCTGTTCCCAGACTTGCTGTGCTGGGAGCTGAGTTGTGAAGACTGCAAGGTCCTGCAAGAACCTCCTGTTCTGGTTCAGGGAGTCTGGCCTGAATTCCTTGCCACACTTGTTCTTGCTTCCAACCCCTTCCTTACCAGCTCCTGCTGCCATTGTTGCACTCTTGAGGAGCAAATACGTCTTTAGCATCTTTGGATCCAATTTTATATTTGAAGTGTTGCTTTCTGAGTCACAGGGTCAGGGCATTGGAGCATCTTTTGCGAGATTCTCCCCAGCTTTGCTGTTGAAGGAAGGATTTTTAATACTTTCTTATCCTGACCCAGTCTGCACACAGGACTTGGTGTTTAATCACTTATGTGATTTAGCCCACTAAAGAGAGTGTTGTCATAGGAGCAGTTGCTGCACTGATTATCCCTGTAAAGCGCTGAAGAGGGTAGTTGGGAGAGCATTGATTTGTAGAGACTGTTTGTTTTTTATGGGTTTTAAGGTAATAAGGAATGGACGCCCCTGATGTACATGTGTGAGATCATAGCAAGATCTGTCAAGATCTCCCAAAAGGTTTCCCTAAAGCACCTGAGTGATGCAAGTCACCAGTCATGACATCCTCATAAGGCAGTTTGGCACATTAGGGAGATAAACTCATGCTGTTCTCAGTCTCATATTTCTTGGCTATCTCCAGCACAAAGCCCTGGCATGCTGAGGTTGTTTAAACAATCCCTAGGTCATTTGGAGCCTGATTCCCTTCTCCTGCCTTTTGGATTTTGGGTGCATGTTCTGAGAGTGTCTATGGCTGATGTGGTGTGACCCACTGTCAAATGCAGTATGGGCTGTGCTGCCTTGAGACCTGGCTTTTCACTGCAGGATAGTGTTGGGCACTCAAATCCCAGCTTCAGATAAAGGAGAAGAAGGATTTGAAACCCAAGGATCCCATGTCCATGTTCTCAGTTATCTGGAGAGGTCTTCCAACAGGTTTTGGCATTTTTGTTGCGGATGAATCTAAGCCTCTGAGGAAGAAGCCCCAAGGAGAGAGGCACATTGAACCTCCTTCTCTCCACCCAGTACAGCAGGTGACTCTCTCAGAAAGTGTCCCCATAGACCAATTCCTCCCACCACCCCATCACTGTGGGAAAAGCAAGGGGAGTCCAGACCTGATGTGGGTCCCTCCAAGGGCCAGATTCTTGCCCCCAGGATCAAGTCAAGGGCCTGATGACTATCTTCTGTGCAAACTCACTGAGCCTCCAAGTCTTATTAGCCTCCATTTCTCCTTAACTCGCCATTTCCAAAACCTCAGCAGAGCAGAGCTATATTTTGGCTGTGATCAGAGAGGCAGGGATGGAGCCTGCAGCTGTAACTAGAGGTCATGGTTACACAACCCGAGTGTGGCAAAACCTTTGGCCAGCAGTTACCGGCAGTGTTGAGGAAGCTGCTGAGGAGCAGCAGAGAGACATCCCTGGGCTTCGTGCAAGATTGCACACTGGTCAGCAGGGAGCCAGCCTCCGCCAGCAGCCCCGCTTCCCCATTCCGAGGAAGGGGACAGGGACCTCTGAGTCATCTCCCAGTGCATGCAGAGGATTGGGCTCTTGGATGGCCTTTACCTGGGAGAGCCCTATGGTCAGTGTCCCTGTGTTCTGTCCTGTCCATCCTCACCTGTGCAGAGCGCTTTTGCCATTCCTAAAAGTCTTCAGTGACCTCTTGAAGGCTGCTGGCTTCTTCATTGCAGGACATTAGGTACAATAAGCACTCCGGGACCCTTTCCAGCTGTATTTTGGGAGCTGTTAGAGACTGATAACAAGGACGCTGGGTGACAAGACTATTGCTTCTGTCCTATTGTTGTGGCCCCATCAAGGACCAGTTATAACATGGTCTTTTCCCAAGCTGGTCTGAATGCAGCCCTGTGAGAAGGGAAGTTTGGCTCCCTCATCAAACCATGCTGAAGTCTTGGATGCAGACGGATAGCCAAAGCGTAGAGCTGGCAAGGCAAGAGTGTGTGGTGGTAGAGAGGAAAGCAACAGAGATGTGTCAAGCCCTGCTAGAAAACACAGCTTAGCAAAGAGGGAGGAATGCTGCACCTCGGATATGTGGAAAATGTGGCTTTGCAGAGGATTCTGGGATATGTTTTTCTCCACTTTGGGAATAAATGAGGCTTTTCCTCTTTCCACAGACAGATAAAAACATCACAAAAAGAAGAAAAAATAATAACCCTGAGGAGATAAAATGTCAAACATTCCATGCTCCCAGGCTCCCTGGGCCCCACTTCCTCCCCCAGGGTCAGCAAGTTTGATTCAGGCCGTGTTTGGGTTTCCCCGGGGCAGCTGCATCAGTGTCACGCACCAGCAAAGCTCTCCAGGGGCCCAAGGCTCCTGTAGCTCTTCCCTCCGTTGCACAGAGAGAGGGAGACTTCAGGCCAAGGCTGCTTTAGAGATGCTGTTTGGGGTCTGCCGTGGCAGCCCTGAGCAGAGCAGGGAGGGCAGGGTGTGTGTTTGCACCCCAGCCACCCTGTTCCTCACCAAGCAAGGGCTGTGGACAGGACTGAGCAAGGGCGCGTGCTTCTTTTGCCAACCCCCTTAGAGGGACAGTGTCCTCTGCCCAGAGTGGCATCTGGGGACTGCAGTGCTTTAGAATGTCCTTGCTGCTGCTGCCCATGCCCACAACCAGCCTTCCATGGCTCTCTTCCTTGCAGCAGACTTGGATAGGGAAGGGCTGTAACCTCAAGCCACTGCTCCCCTTCTCCTTGCAGATATGCAAGTGCAGCTGGATGAACGGTGTCATCATGGGACATTTGTCCTTTCTTACTTCCTGCCAGGTTGGGGCCTTTATGTTTCCTTGGACAACAAATGTCTCCACCTGCAACCTACAGAGCCCCTGTGAGTTGAGGTCTGTGTCTACAGCAGTTTGGTGCATCCCAAGGCCAGATTTGCCCCTTGTTTCCATTGCCACCACCCCAGAGCAGCTCTGCTCTCCGGGATGACACCCCTGCTAAGAGCAGCTGGCTGATAACTTGGGCAGATACCTTTCTTATTATTATTATTTAAACCCTAGTGCATGTCCCTTTAAGATGTGAGGATGGGTTAGCAACCGGGAAGAAAAGCAGAAGTGGGAGAATAGCCCTGGATAGGGGACGGAGTGGGGGCGCAGAGCCCCCCAGGCGCGGATAGCCATTTGCAATGTGTTTCCTGTCCTTGGCGAGGGCCTGGCTGGGGGTGGCGGTACCACTTCTGCCCTAGCTCCACGACACTGATTCATTTCTCACTTCCCCCCACCCTAAATATAGGTGGTGAGTCAAAGAACTTGCTGACGCAGCAAAACAGGGGAAAAAAAATATTTCCTTCTGGCGCTGAGAGCTGGAGTGGGACTTTGGTTCCCCTTTAATCAGACAGTGGAGAAGCCATCTTCAAGGCAGAAATGGCATCAGAAATCTGGCTGGATTGCAATAGCAAGTGACAGCATACAAGTGACAGTGATAGAATTATGGCTTTGGGCTTGCATGAACCATTTACTTTCATGTGCCTTAGTTTCCCATTCCATGAATAACAGTGTTGACTGTTCACTTCCTAATACATTGATGGGAGGAAAAACAAACTCTTTGGCTCTGTAGCTGTCTTTATACCCTTCAAAATCCACTCCTTCACAAGTATAAAAGTCAGGCTTCCCAAAGCACCTGCACCAAACTCCTGCTCTGAGAAGCTTTCCAGGCTGCTTCTAGCTGATGATAACACCAGGACAAAAAAGAGAGCTCCATCCACTGGGCTTGGACTGAACTTCACCAAATGGCATTATCAGCTCACTGAACTCCTGCAGTACTTCTACTTCCACTACAAAAGGAAAACCTCTTGTGAAAAGAGGCAAGACTTAACAGGAACTATTTCCAGGTAGCACCTAGCCTGATCAGTTCTAGATGACTGTATTTCCTTTACAGTACTCTGCACATCTAGATATGGCTTCATTTCCCTTCTCTGAAATTCACTCTTGAAGGTTCAGGTCACTGTATCAGTCTGGTGAGGTGGGAAACGGCCAGAGTAATGTGACACAAAAAGGAGGTCTGCATCCCAAACCCAGTCTTAAGATACTCTATGTTCAGCAGTGTGAACTTCAGCAGAGCATACTAAAGGATCATTTGTGCATCTTCCTCCTCTCTCTTTTCTGTTTGCAGGCTCAGCATCCCCAGTGATCAGCCCTGACAGCCCTGCTGTGGTGGTCAACACGGGTGATCCAGTCACCTTGCGCTGCTCGGGAGATTCTGAAGTGGAATGGCATGGCCAAAAGAATACGTCCACCAATCACACCAGCAGCACGCTGAGTATTCCCGAGGCCACTTTCAGGAATACAGGCACCTACAAGTGTGGTTATGTCAACAGCAACGACAAGGGCATCGCGTCTGTACATCTGTTTGTTCGAGGTAACTGTTGTCCTCTCCACACCCACGTGCAGGAAGAGTGACCTCCTTTGAGGGAGCAAAGCCACTGTGCAGGTCCTCTCTATGGCTGTGGCCCTGCGTGTCCAGGGAACGGTGCAGGCATGGACCTCTTCCTCCATTTACCTTGGTTTCCCTTCCTGAAAAAGGGGATGAAGGCCTGTTTTTGGTTGTAACATGCAATGAGATCTGGAAATTAGGGAAAAGCTCTATTCTCAATACCCATGATATGGAGGAGATTCACATTAATCATGTCCCCACCATGTGAGCTGAACCCTAAATGTTCTTTTACCCCAAAAGGAGTTATGCTTCCATTATGCTCCATGGTGGAGTTACCCTTCCCTTGCACCAGGGACACTGTCCTGCACAGGAAAGGTGGAGATCTTATGAAACAAAACCAATACCATGGCTAAAGACTGAAGAGTCCTAAAAATGCTTTTTAATTTCTTGTCTGTAAGCACTCATAACTTGCTAGCTCTGCTCTCCTCAGCTGCCTTACCTGCAAAAGGACTTGTCATATAAGGTTTGGAGGCTGAGTGAACCATGCATTAAGCAGGGATGCTCCCAACTCCTAATGGGTAGCAATGCTGGAAAGGACTCATCTTGGCTAGAATGCTTCCTTCAGCTTTAAGGCCTGCTTTCCAGATCTGATTCTTTGGCCTGTTTTTTGTCCTCCATAGATCCCAACAATGTGTGGTACACTCCAACTTTCCGGATTGTTGTGACTGAAGGCAGCAATGCTGAACTCCCTTGTCTCATCACGGCCCCCGAGTACGGATCCAGTGTGACTCTGACAATAGACAGTGCTTCTGGCTACCCAAGGGGGACCAACTATTCTTTCAGTGCAGAGAAGGGAATGACACTCTACAATGTGCAACGCCAGCAGAAGGGCTATTACTATTGCCAAGCAGTGATAAATGGAAAAATAAAGAAGTCATCAAGAATAAGACTGATTGTAGAAGAAGGTAAAGGGCTGGGGTTGCTACTGTCCTCAGGGGAACAGCAATAGCTCAGTTGGCCCCAGCTTTTCCTTCCATAAGAAAAAGCTCCTGAGGCTCCCAGGAAAGATCCTCTCAACCTACAACCTTTTAAAGGTCTTTAAGGAAGGCAAGATATGAAATAACACCAGCTTTTGATAAATTGTCTCCTTTAGGTAGGTTTCCATGGGGCTTGGGGTATTCCAGTCATCACAGGCACTACCATAGAACATCCATTAGTCTCCCTGACACTCTGAAAGTCCTCGGGCAGCCCTGGTGTCCAGAACATAGCCATTGCACAAGGATCCCCTTCCCTTTCAACTCATAGTGTTGTTTAGTGCAGTCTCACCTGGCTTTATTGTTTCCCCATAAACATACGCATACAAAAAGGGGCAATATTCCCTACAGAAGAAAAAAACAGGGTGTAAAGAATGAAGGGAAAACAGAAGGCAGACAGTCTTTGGGGGGCAAGTGGGTCATTGGGCCAGCCAATATTGAAGTTTTTCATGCTTGCCTTTATCTAGCCCTCGAGAAGCCTCTGTCAGTGATGATTGACCCAAGGGAGCATGTGCGAATCGTGGGTGAATCTTTCACAGTCACTTGCAGAGTAACTGCTCCTTCCCACAAGTACAACATCGAATGGGTGGCAGCGAAGCACGTAAGTTGGGGGCACAGCTTCAAGGGTGGATAAGGCCTCTCAGGACACCAGGGAGAAAGAACCACCACGGACCCAAGCTGGCTGCAGCAAAGTTTGATACTGCCCAGCCAAAGTAGCTATTAGCTATTTATACTTTGGCTGTAGATATCTTAATATGGCCATCCTTTCCTTTAGGTGGCACAGGGTTAAGAAACACGTGTGTGCTGTCAGGGTCATCCTTCAGGAAAGACAGAAAGGGACAGGACACATTCAGGACACCTGCAGTGGAATATCTGCCCTGATTACTTAGCTTTAATATCCCTCTTTTTCTCCATAGAGATGAATTTTAGTAACCGGGGTTCTATATCAAAGCTCGGTAGCCCAGAACACACCATGGTGGATACGTTTGATATAAATATTATTTTGTTCCATGCAAGCAAGTGCTTGATGCTCTTCCCCTGCCTGACAGGCCAACAGAACTACAAACATTAGCTTTGAAAATGATCACTACATCATCAGTCACACCCTGATCATTCCAGCGGTGACAACGGAAGACAGTGGGAAGTACACGTGTATAGCCAACAATTCTGCAGGATTCAAGAATGTCTCAACATTGCTGCGGGTAGTAGGTGAGTACTTCCCAAAAGGGCCAGGAGGTGTGAGCTGCATCATGCCTGGCCCTGAGTATTTGCTGCTTCTGCCACCTTCTCCTGGTTTGTTGGAGACATCATCCTTACCTCTGTGCGAAAATGCACCCAAGAACTGTGCAGTTGCTAGGAAATGAACTGCTCACTTGATGTCTTGAAGAGTAGGAGGAGATTTTTGGGTCTAGGTGAAAAAAACAGAGAGCCTTTCTTGATTTCGATGTGTTTTTCTAAACATCTTTGAAACAAAACAAAAAAAAAAAAGCAGGGTATGGCCATAGTAAAGCCTTGTTTGGCTTTAGTCAGCCATCCCAGACATGCTCTGCAATATTTCCAGGTGAGAAGCCAAGAATTTAGCTAAGGGTAGATCTTCTATAGATGGTGAGCAGATATAGTTAGCAGTGTGTAAAACCTCTTGTCCTATGTAATTTCTCTAGAGTTCCCAAGCTCTCCTTGGGTCGAGTGTAATCCAAGCCATCGTGGCAGAGAGGAAATTTTAAAGCATTTTGATGACATGAAACATGCAGTTTGAGTAATTTCATCCCATCCCCAGTCTCGTAGCTGAGGCTGCTATTTCCAGTAATGATCCATTTGTGAAGCTGGTGTAAGCTTGTTGCAGGATTTTCTCCTCTCTGTGGACATGCCTGCTGAAGGCCCTGCTCTCCTCTGTCCTTCAGAGAGAGGTTACGTGTTCCTGACCCCAGTGCAAGCCACCAGCCAGGAAGTTGCCTTAGGAGAGAGTCTGAACCTTCAGGTCCTGATTGAAGCTTACCCTGCCCTTCTCCGCTGGGGCTGGAAGCACACAAACTCTTTGAAGAAGTCTTCGACCACCACACTTAAGAGCAAAATGATCTCTGGAAACAACTGGTATGTGCTTTCTCTGTTCTACATGAGCCATGGCATGTTTCCATGCGAGACAACCAGACCCCATCCAACTGGTTGACAGAAAACCTTCTGGTTTTAAAGAGGGAAACTGTTTTGCCTTTCTGTTTTCTGCTTCCAGCATTACCAGGAAACCACAGTGAGCAGGCCTGATCAGGTCAAGGAGGGCATCACCCTTCTCTAACTTGATCGTTTTCTCTTTAGAAAACCTTGGCAAAGTCACTATCACATTTGTTTGTTCAAGTTTTCCCTCTCTCAGCAGGATGAAATTGCAGGGGTGGGTGTATAGGACAAAAAACCTGAATTCTTGCACTGCCCCTCAGACCTGTGCCACACTGTGCTGCCTGGGGAACTCATGCACCAGCAGCCCCTTGCATGTCCCATGTCAAGGGAGGCCAGAGACATCACTGTGAGGTTGTGACAGGTTCTGATCTAAGGGGAATCATCCTCCTCCCAAAGTCTACAGCCAACCCAGATCAAAAAGGAGGCTGAAAGCAAGAGACTGCCCTGTTCATTGGGTGAGATTTGGCAATTCCCCTTTCATTTTCTCAGAAACCCGAAACAATCCACAAGAGGAACTGTGTCACCCAGCAATGGCTTTAGAGTCAAAATTCATTTGAATCAGGATCTGGGAGTTGTCCTGGGGGCAGAGGGGAGGGGACACTGGGAGCTATTGACTTGGTGGGTTAAGAGATAGAAAGAGTGAACTACTCTCACAAAAACACAAGGACCAGCATGTTCTGTCCCTTCCCAGGCAGTGATTTGCATGTTAAACTCTATTCCTGAGCATTTGCCTACCTGTTGCCTCTCAGAAGCATGGTGCACTCTATGGCAAAAGCCCTTTCCTTCCAAGGGGAAGCTTTTCAACAACTGGTAGGATCAGACCCTCCTTCCTTCACTAAGGAAGGAGGCAGCAGCTTTCCCACCAAGTCTGGAGGTAGTGATGGGAAGGGTTCACCTGCTCCAGGGCACAGGCAACAGCCACATTTTGCAGAGCACAGAGCAGACTGTGTGAGATTTCTTAGCACAGCTTTCCTCATGGGCCTTTTTCTGTCTGTGGGAGCAGGTACAACAACACGCTCGTCCTGAATCGTCTGCAGGAAGGGGAGAATGGCCTCTATACGTTTTATGCCCTAAACAACGACACCAACGCGTCGGTTACCTTCAGCATCTCTGTGAAATGTAAGTGCTCTGTATTTACCCTTCCTTCATCCTGCTTGTCCTGGGTTTACTGCCCAGGAGGCAACGAGCATGGCTGAAGCACCAAGGCACTGGGCCAAGACAGCTTCCAGCCCGATGCCCAGAGCGTATCTGGGCCCGGTCCCAAACCCAGACATAGCACAGGAATTGCTATGTTTTATTGTCGATCGCATGGAAGGTGAATCAGAGCACAGGGAACGTGATCTTCCCCTGGTCCTAGCACCCACTGCCTCTCTGCCTTCCCAACAGCCGCTCCAAGGGTCAGCGCCGTCAGGGTGCCAGCCAATGACTCCAGCATCCTTCACTGCATGGCCGTCGGCTACCCTGCCCCACGCATTGAGTGGTACCAGTGCCCCATTCATTCTACCAGGTAAGAAACACCCTGGAGCCTAGGCCAAGTGGCACTTCGAGCACACAGAGGGCACTTGCCTTTGCAGTGATGGCATTTTCTGAACCGCGACACATCCTCGTGAAGGCTGGTTTGCAGGTCATGTAGCCAGCCCAGTAACTTTGCCCAGGAACATTGCCCTGCTGAAGAGAGTTGTTCTCAGGAACTATCCAAGGTGAGGGGGCTGGTACGATTATGAAATTCCTGAGCATGAAGAGTTCAGCTACTTGTGATTCATATTTTTCTAAGGCTTTTCTAACAAGTATGTGAGTCTCTCTGAGAAGTGCCCTGGCATAGTTTGCTGTAAAGCTGTATTCTGGTTGGTCCTAGACATTTTTCAGGTTTCTCCTAGAAGACCCCACTGTCCCAAGGCTCTGCCAAGCTCTACAAAGCCACCAGTTGCAAACGTCCTCAGCTGTAGTGTGATGGGGTCCAATGTAGCCCCAGACAGGGTCTCCCCCATTCAAGGAGGAGCGAGAACATAGTGATGGCCACATAAAGCTAGTCAAAGCTATGTGTCAATATAGGGCCTTGATGTTCACAAAAGGTCTTTATTTCTCATAGAGCTGCAGCCCTAATTCCAAGTGTTTCCTGACTGCTTGAGACAGGCACCAATTCACTCACGAGGAACTACCCAGCAGAGAAACATTCAATTCTCTCTTCTATGGTATTTCTGCAGATTCAATGAGGACTATATGTTGCTTCTGAATGACTCCAATCCCCATGTGGTGGAGGTATTGCCTTTCCAAGAGGTGAAAGTGGAGAGCATCCTCCCATTCCAGAATCTGGGTGACAACTTCACCTTCTGCTGTGCGGCCATTAACAGAGAGGGGAATGCCTCTGACATGCTTCACTCCATCACCGTCACCAGTAAGATCCAAAGGGAAGATTTTTGCAGGGAGGATTTAGGCTTTGGGAGGGTCTAAAGGCTTGCATGGTCTGCATGTTCATGCTCACATCCTTGCAAGAAGTGGAACAGATTCCACAGCCACTCATGGTAGGGAGGCTGTGGTATTTGCCACTCCTAGGAGGTGAGTGGGGGTTTCTGGCTGGGCAGAGACTGAGCTGTGCAATGAACGTTCTGTAATTGCAGGGCTTAGTTCCATGTGCTGAGCCCACTGGAGCCTGGAGGCTGCAGCTTTTGATGGGTCTGTTCTTTCTGCAGAGGTCTCAGTCCCCAGTCAGCCCAACTTGCACCTCTTCTGTCCTGGTGCTGTTCGTGTGCTGAGGGAGGGGAGCTGGCGTGGCTTTGGGTTTCATGTTAAGAGCCACGGGGATTCAAGGGAAGCTGTTAGGGATGCCTCTGAGGACAGTGCTGGGTTTTGTTGCGTACGGGAGAAATCTGGGCAAAATGCTCCCAGAGCTGGTGCATTAGGAGTGAAACAGGAGCCATTTCTCACCCCTGTTTCTTTATTCCTCCAGGAAATATCATGGCTCCCCCAAACAAGCTCTTCAACCCCATTCTCTCCGCCTGCATGGGCACTTCGGTCCTGCTGCTCCTCCTACTGCTCTTCCTCCTCTACAAGTACAACCAGGTCAGACTCCCTGTTGCTTAGCAAGGGCTGCAGGTCCTGCCCACCCTCAGAGAGCACTCCGCTCGGGCTGGCAGCTACAGGCAGAAAGCATTCAGCTTGGAGATACCAGACAAGAGGAGCCAGGCTACCTGCCCCCTTCCCAGCTGCCTCCCAAGCCCCTCAGGAGTTTCCTGCTGCCAGGCAAAGCCCATGAGGCACCAAACCCAGTGTGTGAACAAATCTTCTCCCTTAGATCCCTCAGGCTTGCAGAACAGAACTGACTGCAAGCATTGATCTGCACCAAGGGTTCTGTGCTGTCAGATGCAGCCAGTTTTGCATGAATCTACAAATTGAGTTAAATGGGGAAAAAAAAAAGAAAAAAGAGGGAGGGGGAGGTTATGCAATTGCATCTACTGCCTGCTTTATTAAAAAAAAAAAAAAAAAGCTGTCTCCATAGGGAAACAGGCTGATGTCAGAAGGCAGTTGTCTCCAGGAAGATTTGGTCACTATTTTTACTCAAGAACTTGCCCCATTTTCTCTGCAAGATTCCTTTTCAGCGTTTGGATTCCTTCTTGTTTTTTCTGTAAACTGCACCAGTCAGTAGCCACCTCCGCTTCATCAGTGGATGAAAATCTCCTGTTTTTCAGTCTTCCCTTTGGCACATTCCTCTCCCATTGAGGTTCAGTTTTGCAGGAGAGCTCTGAAGTGCCTGGTTGTCACAAGATGCAGCAGAGCACTCTCCCAGGCAAGGATCCACAGCTTTGCATGGAGAGCTGTCCTTGTTCCCAAGAAACCTCTGCACCAGCTGCAGAGATCTTCCCTTGTGGAAGCAGATCTGGCCAGTAGTCCATAAAGGGAGATGAATGGAGGTGTGAGCACAGCTCCAGAGAAATAGCCTCTAGGAGGGCTTAGCAAGTCCCAGGGAACCAAGACGTGTTTGATCTTGTGCCACCCCTGGGCTTCTTGAGCCATGGCCGAGTGCTGCATTGGGAGGTGACTTGTTGAATGGAAAAGAGCAATGCTCACCCTCCTGGAGAAGGCAACAGCAAATACACCCAGTGCAGGTTGCACTGCTTACGACCACTGCTGGAAGCACTTTCTTGGAATATTACAGAGGTGTCTTTGATGGACAGCCAGGATGGACACAGATGTTTAACTCAGGCAAACAAAAAAGGAGCAGAGTTTAGGAGAGAACAGAAACAGATGCTTTTCATCAAATTGCAGGAGATCTGTTTGCTCCAGGCTTTGTCCTTCACTCCTTTGCTAACCCCACTATGGGCATCTCCCCGCAGGCTGCATCCTTCTCCGTAACTATCCAGGGGAAGTGGTGAGGAGAAGCCTTTCTGCACATACCCTCCAGGAGCTGTGACCTGGTGTGATTCATTGCAGTCTGGCTCCTGCTTCCCCATGTCTGGTCTGGTGGCCCTGAGACCCTTGGTGCCACTTCGAGGTGCAGGTCTCTGCCTGTCTCCACAGACCACAGCACAGGCTGTGCACAGCGCGCTCATGCCAAGCTCCTTCATTTCCCTTCCCTGCATTTGGCTCCCTAGTCCTCCAATGTGACACCCAGCCTAAGCTGGCAGCTGCCTCTGCCCACAGGCTCCAGCACTGCTTCTCCCTGCACTCACCGGGTTACTTCTGCCATAACACTGGTAGAAAAGAGAAGAAATTCTTACTTCTCTTTCTCCATTTCTTTTTTCCCTGTAAGGGAAGCTGAGCTGGGCCAGCTCCACCAGTCTGCTGTGCTCAGCAACCCAGGGTGCCCGGGCAGGAGGCACAGCTGGAGATCTCTCTCCAGCACAGCTGGGCACTGGTCAGTCAGTGCTCAGAGGGGACAGGCTGGGTCCCCCAACACTGCTGTCCCCAGTGAGGCCCAGGGGCTTCCTTGCTAGGTGGAAGAAGCAAGGGGGCCTCCTTCAATCATGGTGTAGGACCAGGAGATTTTGCATCAGCAGTGGGACTGTCCTGTCTAGACCCAGCTTCCCTTGCTCAGCACAGATTTAAAGTGAGCAGTATTTGGTGGTTTGAAACCCAGGACACTGCTGTGTGCTTTCAGGTGGGAGCTGGAGTGTGTGTTGGGACAGGGGCACCCTCGGGCCTGCAGGAACATTGAATAACTGAAGTCTCTTCCTCACAGAAACCCAAGTACCAGGTGCGCTGGAAGATCATTGAGGCCTGTGAAGGGAATAACTACATCTTTATTGACCCCACTCAGCTGCCATACAATGAGAAATGGGAGTTCCCCAGGAATAATCTCCAATTTGGTGAGAAACCTTCCTTGCTGCTTATGTGGTGGCAGGCAGCTCACTGCAGGGCTGAAATGCTCTAAAGGGCAGAACCAAAGCAACTAGGCTACATCCAAAGCTGCATCCAGATATTAAAGCAGCAGCATCAACCAGGCCCTGCTGTTTTTTTCCGTTCAGAATGTCAAATGATAGGGTACAACCTCCCTCCATCTCTCCCTTGCTTCAAGAAAGGTTGAGAGGATCCCATCCCTCCTCTTACATCTAGTTTGCTCATAAGGCATAGAGCTATTGAGCCCAATTTTTGGACATTCCTTCCTTCAGACTATCTTTGCCTATAGTAGCACTTCCCTTAGAAGTACCAGCTTCTGAGCAAACATTGCTCATGTACCATCTTGTCTAAAAAAAAAAGCAGGAATCTACCCATCGGACCTTCTCAACGTTGTGTGCTGGACAACTACCTAATCTCTTTTTAGAAAGGATCTTATAAATGCATCTCTTTCTTCTGCAGGAAAAACTCTTGGAGCTGGAGCCTTTGGAAAAGTGGTAGAAGCTACTGCTTTTGGGCTGGGTAAAGAAGATTCGGTCCTCAAAGTGGCTGTGAAGATGCTGAAATGTAAGCCCAGAGCAGCTTGCAAAGGCTTCAGGCAGGATGTGGGGTGTGTTTGTCACATCTGCTGATGCTTCCAGGCCGTAACACCTACTTTTTTTGGACATTTCTGTGATAAGCACTAGATAGATGAGCCATGTTGTTTGTGGATGCATAGCCAGAGGCACACATTTCCCTCTGACTCTTTCCTCCCTTTGTACCATCTCTGTCTCTACCTTTTCTGTTTTCCCCCATCACTTTCTTCTCTGTCTTGTCTCTCACCCACTCCTTCACACAATCCCTCTCCTTTTGGCTTCCAGCATCAGCAGACACAGACGAGCAGGAGGCTCTCATGTCTGAGCTGAAGATCATGAGTCACTTGGGGCACCATGAGAACATTGTTAACCTGCTGGGAGCATGTACCCACGGAGGTAGGATCCCACCGCCCTGTTGTCCCCGGGAATCCCACACACACACCCAACCTACTCACTGAGGCTGTTAATTCTCTTCAGCCTCACAAGGGAGAGGTACCTCATGAGCCCGCTGGTCTTTTCTGATCCTGTAACTCTACAAGGTTCTATGGGAAAATATAAAAATATTTTCCCCAGCAGTACTGCCTTCACAAATAGGTGATTTAGAGGGGTTTAGGTGCCTGAGACAAGCACACTGACTCATGCTTATTCCAGAGAAGGAACTTTCCTTATAAAACCCCCTGTACTTCAAGGTGGAAGTGATGGGTATCAGCACAAGCTCGGGAAGATCTGGCCATGTCAAGCAGCATGGATTCTGCTGCTCTTCCTCAAAACACTCTGCCCTGGCCACCTCCAGACTGATCCCTACCCTCAGGGTAAACAGCCGCTTCTTAACGAATCCTTTCCGCCTCTCTCCCAGGCCCAATTCTTGTCATCACTGAGTACTGTCGCCATGGAGATCTGCTGAATTTCCTGAGGAAGAAAGCTGAATCCATAATTATCCAGGATTCGTCTCTGGACACCTCTCTGGACAGCACTGCTGACTACAAAAACATCGACCTGGAGAAGAAGTACATCCGCAGGTAAGAGCCAAGCCCGGGCCGTGGGGCCCAGCAGTGCAGGGCCTGGACGCCTGCAGAAGGGTGTCCAGAGGGCTGTGCTGTGGTGGCAGGTGAAGGACAAAGGTGTGGGGATCTGCAAAACACAAGGATGTAAAAGACACTAAGAATGCAAGTGTTTAGACAAGTTTTCAAAGAGCATTTCACTAGAACTGGTGAGATATCTGCAATACATCCAGGTTTCAATCCCATCTGCCCTCCCACAGTCTGGAATCAAAACTGCTCAGCTTTCTGCACTGCTGAGCACGTGAGTTTTGCAGAACAAGAGGCTGAGGGCTCTCCATCAGCCAAGAGCCACCCCTTTACAACAGGGGAGCAGTATTTGAAGCCCCCATACCACAAGGCACCTAAGTTCCCTTTCTGAGCCAGCCTCAACATTGACTCTGCCCTTCAGCCTCTAGCTAAGCCACTTCCCACAGGCAGGGATGTGGTTTCTCCACTCAGTGGATATGGAGAAGGGCAGAAGGTGCTGCCATAAGGTTGCTAACCGCCTGCCTCTGTCTCTGTTGCTCCCTGACTCAGTGACAGTGGCTTTGCAAGTCAGGGTTTGGATACGTATGTTGAAATGAGGCCTGTGTCATCATCAACATCAACATCTTCAGCATCAGATTCTGCTCAAGTCAGGGGTGAGTTAAAAGCCCTTTTTTTTTTTGTTTGTTTGTTTTTTTTTGCGATTTCTTCATTCTGGTCATCCAGTTTGAGTTCTGGGAACTGCGATATTGCCCAGTTTGCATTAATCACCAGGCTGCTTGCACGGACTCCAAAGCTTCTCTTTGAATTCCAGGAAAAGGTTCAGAAGAAGAAGAAACCAGGGAGGACCTCCGTCCCCTTGATCTCTCTGATTTGTTACAGTTCTCCAGCCAAGTGGCCCAGGGCATGGCATTCCTCGCATCAAAGAATGTGAGTGCAAAAGGATGACGGTCCCCAGTCCCCCAGCTGGGAGCCCTCAGTCCAGTCACCTCCTCTGCACAAGAGTCACGATGGGGTGGCCAAACCCCAAAGCTGCTGCTGGAAATGAGCCTTTCTCCCCACGTGCTGGGCTCTGTCATCACGTGTGGGCTCAGACATGCTGGGGACTGATGTGAGCAGCGTGTTTCCTTCCACGCTGCCTCCACCAGGCTCTAGGCAGGCCAGCCCAACAGGGCAGAATTGAGTGGGGGAACTCGGGGCTGTGCATCGTGTTGGTCTTGCCCCTTCTCCCCAGCTTTCGCATGAGATCAAGAACCTTGATGCAGAGCTGTCTCGCACTGTTCATTTTAAGTATGCCTGAGAGCAGCATACTCATCTGATGATCTGAGACATGGGAGCAGTGCCAGCAGGCCCTGGTTCTGAGTCACCTTCCACAGGGAAGCTAAAGGCCAAGTGAATTATTGAAGGACATAGCATAAAATGTCACTGTGTTTCACCACGTGGGCTGAAAGGAGATGATAGTCCCTACTCCTTGTATGTGGCACGATGCCTTGCAAGACTTGCAAGGACTTTTATCCTTTAAGTGTGGTTGTGGAGCTAGGCCCAGGTTGTAGGAGAGCAGATGGGGACATGGGCTGGGGTCTCAGTTGTCTCTCTCTTCTCCCTAGTGCATCCATCGAGACTTAGCAGCCAGGAACGTGCTGGTGTCAGATGGACGGGTAGCCAAGATCTGCGACTTTGGCCTGGCCCGTGACATCATGAATGACTCAAACTACGTTGTAAAAGGCAATGTAAGTGTTTGAGATAGCAACAGGCAAAGGCGTGAGGAGCAAGGGTGAGGGGTGGTGATGCTGGAGAGAGGATAATATAAGCAGTAAGTTCATCCCAGACTGGACATGTCTTTGCTCTTCCAGGCACGCCTGCCCGTGAAGTGGATGGCCCCAGAAAGCATCTTTGACTGCATTTACACAGTGCAAAGTGACGTGTGGTCTTACGGCATCCTTCTTTGGGAGATCTTCTCCCTTGGTAAGAAAGAAAGGAGCCTACAACCGCCCTTTGGCTTCCGTGAGCACTGCGCTACTGTCTTTGCAGAAAAGCTTCCAAGGATTTCTCAGGGCAGGGGCAACTAAATTCTAGGAGAAAGAGCAGTGCTGGCTTCAGTGCTGCTCCAAGCTATCACCTCCCAGCCACCAAGGCACACGTCAGGCTAAAGGGTTGTTAAAGCTGCTGTCCCTGTTACAGGTAAAAGCCCCTACCCCGGCATGGTGGTGAACAGCAAGTTCTACAGCATGGTGAAGCAGGGATACCAGATGGCCAGACCTGACTTTGCTCCCTTGGAAATGTGAGTGGATTGTGCTGAACTGCAAACAACGAAAGGGGGGCTGCAGGCACATCATGGAAAAGGGTGAGGGAGGCTGCGGGGAGCCTGGCACACGTCTGCCTGCAGCTCCCAGGCAAGGCCTGGGCCAGGAGGGTCTCCCCTGAGGACTGAATCTTACCAAGCTGCCTCCTTAAGATAGGAAATAAGACCTGTGACAGTCAGTTATGATGCTCTGCCCACTATTTCCCCTGCTCATGTGAGTTCTCCTTGCTTCTCCTCCATAGCCTTCCCACTTGTAAATTTTGACAGCTTCTTTTTCAGCCATCTGATTTTTTTATCCTGAGCATGTGAGAAGCCTGAGTAGGCTACAGCAAAGGAACAACTTTCAACTTAAAGAAAAAATTACTGGAGGCATCAGGTCTCCTGTAGACAGACCAGGGGCCTGGAGAAGGAGTTTGCTGTATGTGCTCCTGCACTCCCCCTCCTCTGGAGCACTGCACACACTGACCACAGTGGTAAAGAGAGGACAAGGAGCCACTTGGTGGCCCAGGCCCGACCCTGGTGTATGACCCCGTAGGTGCAGGGAAGAGCTGGGGGTTGCAGACTCTCCTGCAGCTTTTGGCCTGCTCATTGAGCCCTGTCTCCCTTTGGCTCTGCAGCTACAGCATCATGCAGGCGTGCTGGAGCCTGGAGGCCACGCAGAGACCCACCTTCGAGCAGATCTGCTGCTTCATCCAGAAAGAACGGGACACGCATAAGGAGCAGGTGGGAAGCTTGAGAGAGGAGGGAAGGGAAGGCAGGAGTTCCGTTCTCCCACAGGACAGTATTCCTGGACAGTTTTCCTGGTGACATCCCATACCTCTAATGCATCAGTCCACAGGGCACCAATCTAGTGGTGGTGAGAAGTGCAGAGGCACCTGGATTTCCCAAAGACGAAGGGTCAAGATCACCCCCCACAGTGACCAGACAGGGCTGGACACAAAAATAAGAACACTTTGCTGAGCTATAGGGGTAGCAATACGACTAATGCCAGTGCAGCCCTGCCCCATCTCCCTGAATTTCATGTATAATTGGTCAAAAGATGCTCTGTCCTGTCAAAGGCCATTCTGCAGCTCCACAGAAACTATGCACAGGATAGTCTCCTGTTAACATCCCCAGCTCGTTATCTGTGCAGGGAGAGAGAAGTCTTCCACTAAAACCCCCTTTGGCTTTTTGCTTTCAAGGCCTACACCAACCTTCCCTCCACTGCTGAAGAGGACAGCGGCTGCGACACCTCCGGCTGCTGCGAGGAGTCCTGCGAGCACGAGGAGAGCGGGCAGCCCCTTCTCAAGAGCAACAACTACCAGTTCTGTTAGCTGCTACCAGCACCTCGGCGTGACGGGGGACCTCAGGTGATCGCCACCCTCCAGACGTGCAGCTCCATGTTCACACCATGCAGCATCCATAGGATGGGTTGTTTGGGTGTTTCTTTTTTTTTATTTTTAATAGAAATTGCAGCTAAGTAACACACTTTGAAAGGTCCCTCACCAGCACACTCTGCACCTCGTGTTTCACATGGGTGCATGTGCACAGACACGGGCAAACCTTGGAGAACGTCATGAGTGAAGAAGGGAGAAACTGCCTTGCAGCAGCAGCAGCTCTTGGACCTGGCAGTTCTGCTCTCTTCCCTGGGACAGCCAGGCACTGGGTGCTGCAGAGCATGGGTTTAGACTCAGTTAAACCTTCCACCCTGCATCCAAAAAGCATTAACCTCTAGACTTCCTCCTGCAATCTGCTTCTCTGCAGCTGATGCTTCTGCAGGGATTTCTTGGGTGAAATGGGACAACCTAAGGGTTTTTATGTGAACTTGTGTGTGCCCCAGGAGCAGGGCGGAGGGGCAGTTATTCCTCAGGTGAAACACAGAAGTGACCAGCACTTTTCCAAACAGCCGCTGAACACAATCCCAGCCCAGGAAAGAATGGCAGCTTAAACAGATGCAGAACTGATTACTGTAACACATATCCTGCAAAACATATGAACTCTCAACCATGTAGCAATTCACTGCCTTTCTGGGAATTATAGACATGCTCTTGTATATAGTTTCTTTGGTTTATTTTGATAGTAGAGTTAAGGTCATTTTTTTCATAAGCTAGCTTGGGCCTAATGCCCTTAAACTTAATTCCTAGTCTAGTTCTCCTCCGGGGTCACTAATGCCACAGCCACCAGGTCTGGTGCAGCTGGCACAGGGGTAGCTAATGACCCTGAGCTTGGCCTGGCTGGTAAAGGAACAGCATTAAAAGGCCCAAGCCCTGACAGAGCTTAGGCAAACTCTGACAAGACAGAAGTGCTGGGTGACATGTGGCTTTCCCCAGCCTGGGGGCAGTGCTGCTGATTGTGCTACACCTCCGTGCTCATGCTAATGCCCAGTGATTGATTCTTCCTTACTAAATAAAAAGCCAATGTATTTCTATGTGGCAGCCGTATAAAGAATAAAGATACTTAACAAAGCAAGTCTTTCCCGAGGCTTTCGGGATTGTTCTCAGAAGGGAAAGGATCAGAGCAAGGGGGAGACACGGCCCCGTCCTCTTGCTCGCCACCACTCTCAAAGACCATGAAATCTTTTGTAGCTTAGGAAGCTTATTAAAAAAGAAGGTTTTGAAGCACTTTGCTCTGATGAGCCTGCCTTTGACTGAGGGAGATGAAGTATTCATCACTATGTGTCAAGATAACAGGGGGACAATTTCAAGGGGCTCGTGGGACCACCGCTGAGGGTGACCGTGCTCAAGACATGGGCACACAACAGGCAGAAGGTTTTAACTTCCTAGAGCAGAACCTCCTCTACCAGCGGTGAAGACACAACGGGAGCTCCAGGTGCTGGTGATATTAACCTGGAGAGAAGTTATGGCACTTGCTGCAGCCCCTCCTCGCCAAGGCCTTGGCAGGAACCGCGGATGGTCCCGACGAGCAGCCAAGGCTGGTGCAGTCCTCTTGGTCTGGGTGGTCTCATACTGCTCCTCAGCCCACATCAACTCAGTCGACTTCAAATCACTTCTGCAAACTGAAATTCTGGATCCTGACATCTGTGTTAAGTGGTCTGAACCAGAGATGCTTTGATAGTACTGTGTAATTGGTTTTAAAATAAATTTTTAAATGAAAATAGCTAACAAGAAAATTACAGCTGATCTCTAGGAGTCAGAGAAGGAATGTGGCATCCTGAAATCATGCAAACCCTGAAAGGGACCATTGACTGCAGAAAAATACCCTGGCTGCAGTTAAGAGAGTAATTGTATTGTGGAAGTCTGCATTTGCCCCTCTGGTGAGGAGCTCTAGGAATCTTGCAGCCTTTTCCATTCAGAACAAATTGCTCCTGTGAATATTGAACTTCCTCCTCCTTTCCTCCCGTATTATTTCCACCCCTGACATGACGGGAGCACGCAGCTCATGGCAGTGGAGCCTGGAATCACAGCTTATCCACACAATGGTTTTGCCCTTGCCCCAGGCAACCTTCAGGGTCTTGTACACCAAGAACAACTCACTTGGCCACAGTTTCACCCCAAAAATTGGAGATAATTTATTAAACTTTATCACTGACTGCAAAAAGTCACTAATGTCTCTTATAATAAGTTAATGTTCTTAACAGAAAAACCCCAAGCCATAATTACTGCATTTGCTCAGACTTAATACATTTACAGTACGGTACTCAATAGGTTCCCCTTCACAGAAGGGAGTTTTCAACCACACCACAAGCCTCTGACTCTTCCCCACTGCTCACGCACCCAAAACCAACCCCCCAGATGGCAATTCTGCAGCGCAGCACCCCCTGCTCTCAAACAGCCACCTTCAGATTTATTTCCGGCAACAGCCCAAGGGAGCTGAGAGTCCAAGAAGCTTCACAGACAGCACCTAAGGTCTTCATTAGATATAATGCAGGGGCTGAGCTCTTAAGGGGTCTCCTTTAAGGGAGCAGAAGCAGCAACCTGGATGGCAAGAGACTCAGCTGCCTTGTGCAGAGCGGGGTGGGCACCGGCAGGGCAGGGCTGCAGAGCCCAGCTCGGGCCTCTCTGCTCACGCTGCATTTGCTGGTTCTCCTCACTGCCACAGCCCGGATGGCAGAACAATACCAACCCGAGTCCTCAAACAGGATGAAACTGCTAAAAAAAGGTAAAGTGTCCGAGAAGACAGCATGGAAACTGAGCATCCTTTCTGTTTCATCAGCTATTACCTTATACAGCACTTCTTCAGCCCTTCGATAAACTTGTTTCCCCTACGGCTTACTTTACCTTTATGTACAACTTTCCTATGTGTTTTAGCTTCTCAATTACTGCTCTTACAAAGGGACAAACAACCCAAGAAGCTCTCGGCAGCCCAAGTACCTGAATCCTGGACCCACAACTGCAGCTGCCAGGGAGGCTCCCCAGATTTGGGGCATTACAGCTGCACGGGGGCCTCTCCTCAACTAAACATCGAATGCAGCCAATACATGTGAGAGCCCTACAAAATTTCCAAGCAGGAGTTAGCATCCTAAACTGATCTATTCAGTGTGTTTTGGGGAAAATATTTCTCGGATATTTACTCTCCTTCTAGGCCTGCTCCCCTACCCCCAACCCTGCACCAATTTGCACAAAGAAGTCAGCAAGCAAGATTCAGAATTAAAAAACCTGTGCGCTTGACCATGCAAACTCCCAGCCCCCAGAAATGCCTCTCCCTTCTCCACTCTCCAACTGCAGGGAAGCCAAAATTTCACATGACTGAACAGTGGGTCCATCACACACCCTGGGAGGGAATTGCAGCCTTCAGCAAGGAGGGCAACAGCCCCATGCTCAAAGCAGCAGTCGTGCTACTCTGGAAGCACACAGCTCTTTGGTCAGTAACAGCAGTCAAAGCCACCAGGCTCACACCTCCAACTTGCAAAAATAAACTCTCAAGCCCGGCAACTGCCCAAACCTTGCAGAAGGTGGCCCAGACCACCCATCTAGATGACCAGAAAGAGAAACCAACACGCTGTTTTTTATTCAGCAATCTCTTTATCTTCTTCCTGGTTCTCCTCTTCATCCTCTTCTGTTTCAGTTTTAATCTGGGCGACTCCGAGCCGGTAGAGAGCATCCCGAATCACCACCTCCCCAGGCTGGCAGCTCTGCACGATCTCCTGGATCTGCCGGTTCACGATCTCCCTGCTGGTGAGGAAGTCCACGAGGCGGTTGTAGAGGTAATAGTGCGTGGCGTTCTCGAACGTGATGGCCCTTTGGCGGATGCTACTGGTTTTGCTGTCGCCGATGGCGGCGATGACGGAGCTGTAGGGCTCCAGCTCCCGGCACAGGGAGATGCAGCGATGCCGGGCGGTTGGATCGTGGTGGCTGTCCTGCTCCGAAGCCATGTGAACGATCCGGCGCGCGGCCGACTTGGTGACCGGGTGCTGAACGGAGTGCTCGGCCACAGTCATGTCCACGCTGTAGTGCTGGTCGAGCAGTTCAGGGCAGGACACGTACTGCAAGAGAGCACACGGACACGAAAGGTAGAACCAGAACTTCCCCAAGGTTAAGAACAAGACAAAATAACATTTGGCTGAAGTGTAACCATCACTACGAGCTAGGACAGAGGGGGAGCTCAGCTAATCAGGCTTTCCCCTGAAGGCCACAGAAAGATGGTTCAGCACATCCCCCTCCCCACTCTTCTATCTTCACAGATAATTCCAGGGGACAAGCAATCCTCTCCCTCTCACGTTTCTCAACTAATAACACCAGCTTGAGGGAAGCAAGTTGCAGGGTCAAGATAAGCTGTGTGTTCCAAAGTTCATGGGCTGCTCTGCCATGAAGAGCTTCCAGCGCAGCCCTTCCCAAAGGGGAGAACAACCCAGTTCAACACCGCAGGCAACACTGAGGGTTAAGGAAAAATTTCTTCCCAGTGAGGGTGCCAAAGCACTGGAACAGGTTGCCCAGAGAGGTTGTGGAGTCTCCTTCTCTGGAGATCTTCAAACCCGCTTGGACGCAGTCCTGTGCCACGTGCTCTAGGTGACCCTGCATGTGCAGGGGGTTGGACTAGAGGACTAGAGGTCCCTTCCAACCTTAAGCATTCTATGATTCTATGATTCAACAGTGTTCAACAGCCATGCACTGGGAAAGCTGTCGGTCAGGGAATGTTCACCAGCTGCATTATCCTGTGGTACAGTACACTGTGCTCTACCCCTGCTCTGGACCAAAAGCAGAAGAGAACACCTACCTCTCACTATAGTTAAATGCATCATTTTTGCATGCATGTGTGCATGTTTTTAATTTCTGTAGATTTTTTTTTTATGTTCAACCAGCACACTAGATAACACAGGTGGCATAACTAACCGTTGGAGGATCCATAGGGTCAGAGAAGCAGCCCTGGTTTTTCCCCCACATCTGGGAAGTCAGGTCAGGACAGCAGACGTCTGCACACAGTGCCACTGAAGAGGC